AGGATGGGGCTCTCCAACTGTAGAGGACTACACTACCCATAATGCCAATGAGCCAAAAGAGAGCATCGTAAGTGCAGAATATTACATATTCTATATGTTCCTATTCAAATACATATTAAGGTGTGGCTGTCTAATGGGTTAAAAAGAACAGATGGTGTTTGCTATTCTGTACCATGAGGACTCTGGAATGTGATGTATAAGGAGATTGGGGGTAGGGTCCTTATATGGGGAGAGTCTAAATGAAAAGTTATGACGTAATTTTGCCTGTAAAGAACTGAGGACAAAGGGCCACGCTCTCTCTTTCTCCTACGATTTGCTCTCCTCTCCTGGTGTGTCCCTGACGTGCTGATACAAAGACAACTTCCTAAGATCTCTCACACTCTGTAACGTCTTTAAAATATACCATCTGTTAAGTATATTATTGTTTGCTTTTGAAGTAGAATAAATGCATAATTTTTATAAAGAACGTCAAATTGCTTATTAGTACTTTTTTGGGCCTTTGTGTACTTGGGTACTTTTTGTGGGCCTTTGACCAAAGAAGATATATATAAATAAAAGATTTATTCAACGGAGAAAACACAGCTCAGTTTTTACAGTTAGGAAAGAAGTTTAATCCCCAGAGCACCAACCACTTTCTAACTTGCTCTGATAATATCTTCCTTACACTCGATTTACAGAGAATTGTAGGCAGAGCAGTCTGTAACAGCTGGAATGGTTAACAGTAAGTCATCACTGAGCTGCGACTTAGCAGAAGAACTAGGATTGGTGATAAAGTAGATGTCGGGAAGTAAAACAACCACAGGAAGTGTTTGTTGGCTGAAATTCTATAAGGATCTCTTCTGAGGGTTCACTACCATTCTAAAACATGTTTCTGTCATTTGCCATCAGTCTCGCAAGTGTGTGAGGTTACCTAGTTTCTGACAGGGAGAGGAACGCTGCACGCTCGCAGCACCCCTCTACTTCTGCTAATATGATGCCTGGTGTCATCCAGGAGTGCCATGTCAGCACTTCGACCCTGTTCCTGCGTTTTTTGAGGTTGCAGAGGTGACTCCAAAATCTGAGTCCACCATAGTATGTAAATTAAATATTCAGCCCCATAGTCTTTGCCTTGTAGTGGTTTCCTCTTGGTTCCTTGTATAGTGCGTTATATATTCTCTGGTTATGTGATTTCAGCTGGTTTATTTGACCTTCCTGACCTCTGTACTCCTGATCTGGCTAGTTCTATTCCCTTATTTCTGATATCCTGAACTTAGCTAGTATTACGTTTATGCTATTTACCTTTCTGTATGTTAAATCCGACAGGATCCCTTGTCAATTTGGCAGGTACTAAAAGGGGTTAACAACAACTCGGCATTACAAATCTTTCCATTTGGCAGTTTTCATTGCCTCTTGTTGCATGGTGATGACCTTAGGGTGCATGAGAATATCCATTTTTTTGGGGGGGGGACCAAAAAGCTTGAAAATAAAAGTGATATGACTTCTCTCAAATAATATTCCACTTAATGGTGAAATTCCCCTGAATTCTGAACAAACTGCTGAGGATGTCATAAGGAGGAATTTCACTTCATCATCATCCGTATAAAATATTTCTTAAGTGTGAGCGTACTCTGTTCTTTGCTAAAATGGGTTAACCCTTACGGTGGTGCCAAACAGAACCCAGATGGATTGAACCAAAAGCCTAAAAACTGCTCCATAATAACAAGCTGCAGTTGTTATGGTGGTGATGTGTTCGATATTGGTTTATTGATACGAGTCTTCCAGTTTTGCAGACCATGTTCTTTCCAAGCCCTGTCATTATTATATTTATAACGTACACAACACATTAGTATAAACGTACATATCAATCCGAGAGGCGACGATAAAGACTACTCATCATTTAAAATTAATTAAGCCTCAATTAGCTTTTATATGCATAATTTCCCTCTAACAAATGCTTAATCTTCACTATCGAAGAAGAAATAAAAAATCTTCTCACTAAGTGAAGATGCTTTGTGTCCCCTTCCCTCCCAGTAAGAAAATAAGGCGGTGTTTATTCGTTTATTCAAATTGTGGAAAAAAAGAAGAGAGACAATGGCAAATTTCAGGCTAAAGCAGTCACACTGTAAATATCCCCCATCATGCCTAATTTTTCAGTTCAGCTATTTGGACCTCAGAGTGTGCATTTCCCTGTTTAGTAAATAAGCCCCAGAGATTGGTGGTGTGCATAATTCCCCTAAATAGAGGAGGATGCCAGCTGCTCGTTCAGAAAACCTTGGGATGAACTATGGCAGAGCTTGTGTATGTTTTCACTAATCCGAGCTGTAATTTGTGCCTGTGTTGATGACCTGGGGAAAGTAATCCTGCGACCGTGGCTTTATTTATGAAAGTCTGAACACAGCACACGATTTGCAATGCAGCAGCTGTTTGCGGACAGCAGTGCTATATGTTAGCTGTGGCAAAGCAGGTGGATAGAGCATCGTAAATATAAAAACTGAACTTTACTGCCAGTCCTGAACATCCTGAGGAAGAGGAGAGCAGCACAGAGAACCACGATTTCATCACTGAGCAGCCTCGGGAGACCACCTTACAGCTCCACGTTCATTCACATAAATGATGTCTCTTGGTGAGTGATTCCTTCTAAGTCATGGCACAGGGAGAGGAGACGTTTATGGTGAATATATACCTGTATGTATGGGGCTACAGATGATACCACATGGCAAGTGTTCCAGGGCTCTGAGGAGTGGCTGCTGTAGCAGGTGGGGATGTGTCACTGTGTAAAAGTACAGGTAGAAGAAAGGAGGAAACAAGGACCAGAGTGAAGAGACACAGGGAGGCAGGTGGCATACTGGTTATAGTGATATTATGTATCTACAGATACTGAGCTCACAGGGAGGGCAGAGAGGCAGGTGGCATACTGGTAATAGTGATATTATGTATCTACAGATACTGAGCTGATAGGGAGGGAACAGAGGCAGGTGGTATACTGGTTATAGTGATATTATGTATCTACAGATACTGAGCTCACAGGGAGGGCAGAGAGGCAGGTGGCATACTGGTTATAGTGATATTATGTATCTACAGATACTGAGCTCATAGGGAGGGCAGAGAGGCAGGTGGCATACTGGTTATAGTGATATTATGTATCTACAGATACTGAGCTGATAGGGAGGGCAGAGAGGCAGGTGGCATACTGGTTATAGTGATATTATGTATCTACTGATTCTGAGCTGATAGGGAGGGCAGAGAGGCAGGTGGCATACTGGTTATAGTGATATTATGTATCTACAGATATTGAGCTGATAGGGAGGGCAGAGAGGCAGGTGGCATACTGGTTATAGTGATATTATGTATCTACTGATTCTGAGCTGATAGGGAGGGCAGAGAGGCAGGTGGCATACTGGTTATAGTGATATTATGTATCTACAGATACTGAGCTGATAGGGAGGGCAGAGAGGCAGGTGGCATACTGGTTATAGTGATATTATGTATCTACAGATACTGAGCTGATAGGGAGGGCAGAGAGGCAGGTGGCATACTGGTTATAGTGATATTATGTATCTACAGATACAGAGCTGATAGGGAGGGCAGAGAGGCAGGTGGCATACTGGTTATAGTGATATTATGTATCTACAGATACTGAGCTGATAGGGAGGGCAGAGAGGCAGGTGGCATACTGGTTATAGTGATATTATGTATCTACAGGTACTGAGCTGATAGGGAGGGCAGAGAGGCAGGTGGCATACTGGTTATAGTGATATTATGTATCTACAGATACTGAGCTGATAGGGAGGGCAGAGAGGCAGGTGGCATACTGGTTATAGTGATATTATGTATCTACAGATTCTGAGCTGATAGTTAGGGCAGAGTGACATAGGATCCACAGTCACAGGTGAACTCAGTGGATGAGCCAAGCTATCTCTTGGGGCTCGATGCTGTGATTAAAGATTGATCTCTGCTAAAGCAAGTCTGTGGGACCATTGCCAGTCACAGGATGTCACCCTTTATATATCTGACTATACTACCTGGGAGGCTCCACATGGCATTTTACTATTCCAACTGTGTGCACTGCTAAACAGTGGATGGGATTTTGGCAAAGGTTATGGTTACTTTATATTAAATACATACAAACCAAAAAAGGTACCTCAACAATTACACACATAGACAGAGAGACAAACACAGAGACCAAAGAGAGGGAGAGAGACACAAACATCGTGTCAAGAGACAGAATGAGAGGAAGACAGACACAGAGAGAGACTGACCTGACATACCGTGAAGAGGAAACAGGAATAGACTGACAAAAAGTGAGAGAGAAAGAGACTGACAGAAAGTGTGAGAGAGAAAGGGAGAGAGAGAGAGACTGACAGAAAGTGGGAAGAGAGAAAGAGACTGACAGAAAGTGGGAGAGAGAGAGAGAGAGACTGACAGAAAGTGGGAGGGAGATAGAGAGAGAGAGACTGACAGAAAGTGGGAGCGAGGGAGAGAGAGAGAGAAAGAGCCTGTCAGAGAGAAAGATAGAAAGAGACTGACAGAAAGTGGGAGCGAGAGAGAGAGAGAGAGAGAAAGAGCCTGTCAGAAAGTGAGACAAGGAAAGAGACTGACAGAGAAAGAGACTGACATTTTGTGAAACGAGAGAAATAGAGAGGCAGAAAGAGAGGATGTTTTGGTGTTTTAACAAAAGTCTTTGCATTTATTTCAGAAGAAACTGCAATACTCACTGCAACAATAAATGAAAGCATTATATACACACATATATATATAAATAAACAAACACAAACACATGAAAAAGATAAGAAAAAAAATCAAGGCACAGATCATGAAGAATAAACACACATGTATTGTACATGTTTCTCTCTGCACACACACAAGCAGGAGCGCAGTGAAGGTGCCGGACTGTTTGTAGAGTGTGAGCGATCAGAGAGTGTCGAGGAGGAGGAGATTACAGAGAGATGTGAGGTGTGGGATTTGCTTGGAGCTGTGACTGGATACAGAGAATGAGATGGGATAGAAGGATTAATGCTGCATCTCGTCCCACGGTCATGGTAAGTAAACTTCCCACCTGACACTGACATCATGTGGACAGTCACAAACAGCTACCTTTCATACACCTACCCAACTTATACACAACACTATCCTTACAGTATCTCTACAGCTGCAGGACACACAGACTGGTTCATGGATTGTAAACTGTCTGATGGGACCCAAACACCTTCAGTCCCCTTTGGATATCAACAAAATTCTAATCATAGAACCCCCTTATAGCAGATGATTTGCCGTATCTGTCTGGATACAAAAAGGATGTATCTAACCCATTTCTTCTTAACAAATTAAATACGCTGAGACAAAATGAGTCCGAAGAAGGGGATTTTATTATTTAGGAAAATAATTTCTCTTTTCTTCATGAACCGGTGAATATTTGAGTGAAAATTTCAGCCAAAACGTAAAATGTGAGAATGTATCTCTGAATGCAGTATGTGTATGCCTTTTTGTATCGTTTTATCTATTTCTCACTTGCTCTGTAAAATCCTTCATTGACAGTTTGCTGCTCTGAAGTGACAGATTTTAACCAGCAATGCCTATAATCTCCGGAGGTAGCGAACAAGACTACAGCAACCTGAGCTACACCTCCAGCAGTACCCTTACCCAGATCTTCCCAATAACTGTCCAATCACAGACACTAAAGGGAGTTAGGTACAAACGGGCTCAGAGGATTTATGACCCGAACGAGCTCTGCACGGTTGACCTGAAACGAGAGGTGATTATTAATGTTGGAGGAATGAAATACCTTATGCCTTGGAGTACTTTGGATGAGTTTCCCATGACCAGACTTGGAAAGTTAAGGTTTTGCAATAGCTATGAGGAGATCATCCAGATCTGCGATGACTTTGATGAAGACACCAATGAGTTCTTTTTCGACAGGAATCCGTGTGCTTTTGGCATGATTGTCAGCTTCCTGGCTGCTGGAAAACTCAGGCTCCTGAGAGAGATGTGTGCCTTGTCTTTCCAGGATGAGTTGACGTACTGGGGCATCGAGGAGTCCAATTTGGAGAGATGCTGCTTGAGAAGGCTCATCCAAAAATTGGAAGAACTGGCAGAGATACGAAAAGAAGAGGAAACTCAGAGAAACAGGGAGACAATATGTGTCCTAGAGGACAATACCAAGGTTGGCCATTGTATGAGCAAACTGCGGGATATGGTGGAGAACCCACAGTCAGGGATTCCGGGAAAAGTATTTGCCTGTCTCTCTATTTTATTTGTAGCTACTACTGCTATAAACCTATGTGTTAGCACCATGCCGGACCTCCGGGCAGAAGAAGACAGGGTAAGTCTGATGGTGATACTTACATAATGGTACCATGGCTGTTGTAGTTTATTGGTTGGGCATCACGAGAAACATAGTTCTCAACAGCTATTTGTCAATGTTCAAGCTGTCCCTTGCCTATATCAGTTACATAATAAATTAAAGGGTTATAGGATATTTACAAAATGGTCACTGAGGGAGATATATGGCTATTATGTCAAATTTACCTGGAAAAACTTTGAATACTTCAAAGAGAATCAATTTGGCTAAATACCATGTTCCTTTTCTAACCATTAAAAACATCCAATGCCTAATTTATATCTTAGTTTTAACTCAGCCTGAACGTATCCCTCTGCAAAAGAGGTTTTCAGTCTTCTGTTTAATACCATCCACACAGGAAGGCAATCTAACACTCTGTAAAGCCAATCTACTCAGCTCCTTCCATGCAACCTTTTGTCTTAACATAGTTTTGAGATGGTTTTAATATACTTGTAATTAACATTATCTGTCAATCAAGTGCCACTTGTGTTCTTAAAATATTTATTTTTTGATTTCCCTCGTGCCAGTCTGATCTCTTATTGGAATAGTAGAGTGGAGACGTCATTTATGATGGAATGAAATTAGAGTATCATCTTACAAGACCACTTCGCTCTCCTTCCGATCTCTTATTATACTGCCCCTAATTTAATTGATACTACAGGTTCCAATCTCTCCCTTGTATCTGCAAACATTTTTATCATACCCCCATACATACCAGAAAACTCTGTACATAAACATTAATCTACCATCAATATAGCCCGGTATATGAAAGAATGATATCATGATATGTATTTCAGGGTGTACACCATATCCACTGCATGCATCCTGTGCAGCACAGAAAAATAAAAGGGTTATTTTCTAAACAGTGAATTTGTAGTGAAATTTAAAAATTCAGCCTAAAACAGACAAACGTGTGAGTACAGCCAAGTTACATACTTTTTTGTACTTTTTAAGACAGCAAAATTTATTGTTTTGGAAATAAATCATAGAATCTCAAAAATGCTCTGAACATTCTATGAAAGGACACGTGGGACCTATTTCAAGCCACTAATATGTATAGAAGGGTTTCTACTAACTGTGTATAACAAATTATAAAATGCAGATTATACAGTAAAGCGCTGTGGGGTGGGGGTGAGGGGGTCACAGAAGTGATAAACAGAGCATTTAGACAATCTGAATGATAGTCACTAGTTAGTGAAACATTATACAGATCACATTACCTTCATATAGACATGTTCATTTCTGGTCTTTGAATGTCAAGGAGTGTTAAAAGATTGTTACAGAAAAATTTGTTCTGTCTCTTTTGTAAGCTCTTTAGCCCAGACTCTGATTACCTTAACGGTGAAGGGGGAAGCGGATCTCTTGTGATATTTTACAATTATTATTCTGCAAAGTAGAACTGATATAATCATTTATATGTCAATAAGTGTAGTTTGTTAATGATGGGTAATGGGTCATGGTGGGATTAACCCTTGCAATGTGGCAATGTTTATCCTGAGCTTCTGAATCAAATGAGAGGTCCTATAAGGAAGGTCAGAGGTCACGCATTTAGCACTCGGATTTTCCACTGTACTCAGTCTTGGTGTGCCCTTACCATAATGAGCGCATAGGAAAGCAGGTAATAAATAAAATATAAATGAGATCTGAGACTTGCTAGAGGGAAAACAGATGAAGACAAAGTAACTAACTAGAGAGCAGAGAAGTTCATTAACGAGAAGATCTTAGGAGCGCTCCTCCATAATTTGTACTTTGTGAATTAACAATGACCCTGGAACACATCCTGCCCCACCTGCACATCAGTGCTCTCTGATAGTGAATAAAGGGGAATATTGCACCCCTTCACAGATGTGTTTGTACTAAAGAGCGAACAATACAAATTGTGTGTGGGTGTGGGATGGCTACGGATTAAGCAGTTCTTAATGAAGAGGTATTTGTTGTATAATGTCGCTTGATAGATCTAGTACTGCTCTGTATAAACGTCTAGCCAGTGTTATCATGGACCCAGATATCAGGTAGCATTCTATACATTAAACTACTTAATCTACATCATAAACATATTTATTTTATTTTAAAAGTTATTTCTTTAATAGAACACTCCAGGCACTATAAAGTACCAGGAGTGTCTTGGCACCTCTCTGAAAAAGTGGTCAAACTGTTTGCAAGCCACCTGACAATCTGGAGTGGTGCTCCCTGGAGGAGATTCTGGCTGTCCTGAAGGTTGTGTCCAGTGACCGACAGACCAGGTAAGTTGTCAAAACATTCGCAAACTGTTTGACTACTTAGCCTGGGAGGGGGTTTCTACCACCAACAACATTAGGGTGCGCTGTAGTGCTTATGGTGCTTGGCATGTTGCCTAAACCAACATTTGGAGTGACCTGCTGTGTTCTCACTGTCAAAGTCCGTTAGTGTAAAAGATATTTGGGTTTTTAATGCCCTTCAGTCTTGCTGTTGTCAGTGAGCAAGGATCAGTGTCCTCCTCTAAGCAGTGCTGTATTTACAGTGAGGCTAACAAGGCATTTGCCGTGGGTGGCACTTTTAGGGGGGAGGCAAAAAAAGTTGCCCCCTAAGCACCCAGGCAGATGCTTTGTTAGCCTTGATTCACAGGGGCCCAAGAGATTGACGGCTGGCCAGCCTAGGGCCGCACCAAGGCGGGCAGTGAGGGAGCATTGCCCTCTGAGCTCTTCCTGTTCAGCTCCCACGTGAGCGCCCAGTAGTAATGCCAAAGACGGAATATGATGTCACTCCGGCTCCCAGCATCACTAAGTGGCACAGAAGAGATCTGAGCAGGATCATTACAGCTCCCTCACCGTCTCCATTTGCCGCCTGTCCAGCCACCCAGCAGCACAGGAGCCAGCCCAGCCAACAGCAACAGATCACGCCCAACAGCCCCACTGGACCCCAAGGAAAGACTTCATTCCAGCACTCTCAAAAGAGGCTGGTGGATTTAAATTAAAATAAAAAAATAACAGTGCATCTAATGTGTATGTAAGCCTGGAGTGTCCCTTTAATAATATAAACCCACCCAGTATAACTGTAACCTAACCTACACAGTGCATCTAACGTGTGTGGGAGCCTGGAGTGTCCCTTTAATAATATAAACCCACCCAGTATAACTAACTGTAACCTAACCTACACAGTGCATCTAACGTGTGTGGGAGCCTGGAGTGTCCCTTTAATAATATAAACCCACCCAGTATAACTAACTGTAACCTAACCTACACAGTGCACCTAACGTGTGTGGGAGCCTGGAGTGTCCCTTTAATAATATAAACCCACCCAGTATAACTAACTGTAACCTAACCTACACAGTGCACCTAACGTGTGTGGGAGCCTGGAGTGTCCCTTTAATAATATAAACCCACCCAGTATAACTAACTGTAACCTAACCTACACAGTGCATCTAACGTGTGTGGGAGCCTGGAGTGTCCCTTTAATAATATAAACCCACCCAGTATAACTAACTGTAACCTAACCTACACAGTGCATCTAACGTGTGTGGGAGCCTGGAGTGTCCCTTTAATAATATAAACCCACCCTGTATAACTAACTGTAACCTAACCTACACAGTGCATCTAACGTGTGTGGGAGCCTGGAGTGTCCCTTTAATAATATAAACCCACCCAATATAACTGACTGTAACCTAGCCTACACAGTGCATCTAACGTGTGTGGGAGCCTGGAGTGTCCCTTTAATAATATAAATCCACCCAGTATAACTAACTGTATCCTAACCTACACAGTGCATCTAACGTGTGTGGGAGCCTGGAGTATCCCTTTAATAATATAAACCCACCCAGTATAACTAACTGTAACCTATCCTACACAGTGCACCTAACGTATGTGTGAGCCTGGAGTGTCCCTTTAATAATATAAACCCACCCAGTATAACTAACTGTAACCTAACCTACACAGTGCATCTAACGTGTGTGGGAGCCTGGAGTGTCCCTTTAATAATATAAACGCACCCAGTATAACTAACTGTAACCTAACCTATACAGTGCATCTAATGTGTGTGGGAGCCTGGAGTGTCCCTTTAATAATATAAACGCACCCAGTATAACTGTAACCTAACCTACACAGTGCATCTAACGTGTGTGGGAGCCCGTAGTGTCCCTTTATTAATGTAAACCAACCCAGTATAACTAATTGTAACCTAATCTACACAGTGCACCTAACGTGTGGGAGCCTGGAGTGTCCCTTTAATAATATAAACCCACCCAGTATAACTGTAACCTAACCTACACAGTGCATCTAACCTGTGTGTGTGCATCTAATGAGCCTTTAGCTAACTGTAACCTAACCTACACAGTGTCCTGGAGTGTCCCTTTAATAATATAAACCCACCCAGTATAACTAACTGTAACCTAACCTACACAGTGCATCTAGCGTGTGTGGGAGCCTGGAGTGTCCCTTTAATAATATAACCCACCCAGTATAACTAACTGTAACCTAACCTACACAGTGCATCTAACGTGTGTGGGAGCCTGGAGTGTCCCTTTAATAATATAAACCCACCCAGTATAACTAACTGTAACCTAACCTACACAGTGCATCTAACGTGTGTGGGAGCCTGGAGTGTCCCTTTAATAATATAAACCCACCCAGTATAACTAACTGTAACCTAACCTACACAGTGCATCTAACGTGTGTGGGAGCCTGGAGTGTCCCTTTAATAATATAAACCCACCCAGTATAACTGACTGTAACCTAGCCTACACAGTGCATCTAACGTGTGTGGGAGCCTGGAGTGTCCCTTTAATAATATAAATCCACCCAGTATAACTAACTGTATCCTAACCTACACAGTGCATCTAACGTGTGTGGGAGCCTGGAGTATCCCTTTAATAATATAAACCCACCCAGTATAACTAACTGTAACCTATCCTACACAGTGCACCTAACGTATGTGTGAGCCTGGAGTGTCCCTTTAATAATATAAACCCACCCAGTATAACTAACTGTAACCTAACCTACACAGTGCATCTAACGTGTGTGGGAGCCTGGAGTGTCCCTTTAATAATATAAACGCACCCAGTATAACTAACTGTAACCTAACCTATACAGTGCATCTAATGTGTGTGGGAGCCTGGAGTGTCCCTTTAATAATATAAACGCACCCAGTATAACTGTAACCTAACCTACACAGTGCATCTAACGTGTGTGGGAGCCCGTAGTGTCCCTTTATTAATGTAAACCAACCCAGTATAACTAATTGTAACCTAATCTACACAGTGCACCTAACGTGTGGGAGCCTGGAGTGTCCCTTTAATAATATAAACCCACCCAGTATAACTGTAACCTAACCTACACAGTGCATCTAACATGTGTGGGTGCCTGGAGTGTCCCTTTAATAATATAAACCCACCCAGTATAACTAACTGTAACCTAACCTACACAGTGCATCTAACGTGTGTGGGAGCCTGGAGTGTCCCTTTAATAATATAAACCCACCCAGTATAACTAACTGTAACCTAACCTACACAGTGCATCTAACGTGTGTGGGAGCCTGGAGTGTCCTAACTTTAATAATAATAAACCCACCCAGTATAACTAACTGTAACCTAATCTACACAGTGCATCTAACGTGTGTGGGAGCCTGGAGTGTCCCTTTAATAATATAAACCCACCCAGTATAACTAACTGTAACCTAACCTACACAGTGCATCTAACGTGTGTGGGAGCCTGGAGTGTCCCTTTAATAATATAAACCCACCCAGTATATAACTGTGTAACCTAACCTACACAGCGCATCTAACATGTGTGGGAGCCTGGAGTGTCCCTTTAATAATATAAACTCACCCAGTATAACTAACTGTAACCTAACCTACACAGTGCATCTAACGTGTGTGGGAGCCTGGAGTGTCCCTTTAATAATAATATAAACCCACCCAGTATAACTAACTGTAACCTAACCTACACAGTGCACCTAACGTGTGTGGGAGCCTGGAGTGTCCCTTTAATAATATAAACCCACCCAGTATAACTAACTGTAACCTAACCTAAACAGTGCACCTAACATGTGTGGGAGCCTGGAGTGTCCCTTTAATAATATAAACCCACCCAGTATAACTAACTGTAACCTAACCTACACAGTGCACCTAACGTGTGTGGGAGCCTGGAGTGTCCCTTTAATAATATAAACCCACCCAGTATAACTAACTGTAACCTAACCTACACAGTGCATCTAATGGGTGTCGGAGCTTGATGTGTCCCTTTTAAGGCTACACTTGATGTTTCCATCCATTTGGTGCACTGTGATGTTTCAGTCAGGTAATTTGAAGTAAGGTTACAGTTAGTTATAGGATCAGATGTTATGGTGAAATAATCAATATCGTTTTTAATTTAAAAAGAAAATGATATGTTCCACAGGGCAAGAATGCAACTGTCAGTGAAGGAAAGCATTTAAATCATAATATGGCAGAAAATTAGCAAAGAACAGATTTCTGATTCACTTCCAAAGTTTAGTTTTCTTCCAGCACGTGGAAATTATTTACAGCAGAAGAATAGAATATAACTTTTATCTTCTATGTGAAATTGGAAATTAAAAATGCATTTATCTCTAGCCTGATACTGAGTGCTTCCATCTTGGCCCTTCGTCAACCTAGTGTCCTGAAAATACCTTGTTAGGAACTATAGGTTCCCTTTGGCACCCCCCCTTTGGTATCAAAAAAATGAAAGTTTAAAAGTGTGCCTGCTGATATCTTCCGCCATCTCCTCAATTCCAATGCTTCTCATAAAGAAGCACTGGATTGGAACTAGGCATGTACGGTCAAGCGCTGCGCTCCTCCAATAAAAGGACAGGATCGCAGCGGGGTTAAAAGGACAGGATCGCGGCGGGGTTAAAAGGACAGGATCGCGGCGGGGTTAAAATGACAGGATCGCGGCGGGGTTAAAATGGCAGGATCACAGCGGGGTTAAAATGGCAGGATCACAGCGGGGTTAAAATGACAGGATCACAGCGGGGTTAAAAGGACGCGATCGCATGGGGTTAAAATGGCAGGATCACAGCGGCGTTAAAATGGCAGGATTACAGCAGCGTTAAAATGTCAGGGTCACAGCACCTGCTCATTGATAGGAAGTGGTCTGGGTTACTTGAGTGGTCTTATTAAATAACTTATTGGTGATTTTCAGTGTCGTTCTAATTTAAGAAAAGTGATAGTTCCAATTCCGCTATTTTCCCCCTAAATCTTGACATTCAGAATATATAGAAAAATTATATTAAAACCATATGGAGCATATGGGAGTCAAAAGAATAAAGTATAAACAGCAATGTAGGAAATCACAAGCCTGAAGTGTCACTAATGGGTCTCTTTACTAAACGCAGAATTTTGTCTGGATGGAAAGGGCAATTCTAAGATGTATTAAAGCCAAATCCATTTGGAATTCATCCAGATGCATTTGATGCCTCGTTTAACAATGATGCTGGCCCTGGGGATGGGGACACTAAGTTACCTGGGTGAAGGGACCTGGTCACAGGTCCTCCCATTGCCCCCACAGGCATCGGGTGGGGGCTTAACTTATACATTTTTCTTTTTTCAATTCTCTACAATGCACAGTTTGGTGAAGACACATGATAAACACTGCCAGATCACTTACTGATGGCTTCCAATAAATATCTATAAATTACTGCAGCATAGTACCTGGAATTACTTTTTAAACTTTTCATTGGGAAATCATTTTAGTGACAGTGCCACTTGATCTAGAGGTAGCAAACCCAGTGATGAAGTTGCAGTCCACCGATTCATACCGATTGTGTCCCACCCACCCCAATGTGGTTCAACCTGCGAGAAAGCCGTCACGTCATTATCCATGAAGATCTATTACCATGGTCACTAAAAGCAATTCTAACCATAATAATGTGATCAATCTTTATAATGAAGTGCATTTAAGGGATACTTTATTACCAAGATATATCACTTAGATTCTACACAGGAGTGCTGTATGCAATCTACCCAGCTGCATATTGGCAGTCCTTTCTTAATGAGTGTAATATAGCTCACTATATTGCTGTGGTGTTACCTTGTGAAAGGTCATTGTTCCAGTTTCATTGCAGTAACCATTGTGTAGCCTTGGGAGATCAACCTCGGCTCTCCAGCCATCACTGGACCTCCATCTATTAATTCATGGCCAGAAGAGAATAAAGGGTAAATATTATGAACCCAGTATCAGATAGAAAGTTAAGGACTGGACACAAATAGACTAGACCAGGGGTAGCCATTAAGTAGATCAGCTGAAATTGACCTACAACATATCTGACACTCCCTCACCTTTATGTAAGGGAGTCCTTGATCTACCACCACCAGGGGAATCTCCTTGATATGTCTGCTAATTCCTACAACTTGCAGGTGTATTTCGTTGTATTTATGGGTTATCTGCTAAACGATGTGATGCTATCTTCTTTTTTTTCTTTTAATTTAGAGGCATATTCCTATATTTATGTTGTATATATGTTGTTGTGTTAGAGTCCTTACAGGAGGGTCTCAGGGAAGGCTGCCATATCTATCTCCAGCTATAAAACCAAAGTTTTGATATTAAAACAATTGACTTACTTACAAGTGCTGATGGAATTAAATATATACGCATAGGGATACAAGTGTGTGGTCCATATATATGTATATATATTACTTGTTAAAGATGCACCACAATTATGCCAAATTAATAAAATAATTCTTGGCTACACTCAAAGCAAGGGTGGGATGCATTGCAGCCATCAAAACAGCATTGTTGCCAAAACTTCAGAACCTGCTTAGAACACTACGAATACAACTGCCAACAGAGTTTCTACATAGCTTGCAAAAAACCCCCCAAAAAAACAGACTTTATATTTTGGCTACATCATTGCTATCTGACGCTCTGGGTGTACCTTCGTTTAATCATAGAGCCTGGGAGAAACATGGGATCCACTACCTATACCAATTACATGACAAGGGCTAATTTAGGACACACCAAGATATTCTGTCCCACTTCCAATTACAGAGTAATATAATATTCTCCTACTTACAACTCAAATCACTCCTGCCTAGGACAAAAGCTAGTGACCAACACCAAATGCCAGGTCTTCTCCTCTCAAGCTTTGAACAAATATGTGTACAATTAATACGAAATTAAACTCTCCCTATGCTTTACTCTACTGAGCAGAGACACATCCGGGGGAGACAAGAGATTCAAGGAAGCTTGGCAGAAGAAATTGGAGCAGATCATTGACAAAGCACGTTGGGTGTAAGCATTTACAGCTCATAGAGGGATAATCTCCTGTGCATCCCACCTAGAGCTCAAACATAAAATAATGTATAGACGGCATATGGTCCCAGTCAGTCTACCGCATCTGGGGCCAGGTTACCTTAGTAATTGCTGTCAATCTGGGATAGGGACAATGCTCCACATTTGGTGGAAGTGCCCACGCATTCAGCAATACTGGAATATAGTAATTGATGTTATAACGTCAGTGATAAATTCTCCCTGTACTATACTCCAGAGGTGTGCTTGCTGTTTAGGTTTTATGAACAAACTGCCTCAAAATCTCTGCATGGTAGGCTTTGAGGTCCTAACTGAAGCTAACACACTAATAGCCCAATTATGGATATCTACATCCACTCCCTCTTATAAGGATCTGATCGATCTGGTCTCCCTAAACTGGTCTTCTGAGAATATGATGGCATATCAATTTGGCCCAAGAAAGAGAACTCTGGGTGCCCGGACTCTGAGGGACACATTTGTAACTAACAGTCAGCCAGGTGGTGTTGGAGTTTGGTCTGATAGAGGTTGTATTAAGAGGCGTCATAACCTAGATGTGGACATTACTAAGTAGCAACCTGTATGGGTACACATTGAAATCTATAGATAAGATGTAATGTTATTTACTGCTTTGTAAAGCTGTTGCTGCCTCCCCCCTCCACCTGCGCCCCTTTTGGCTTGTTGGTTATCCCCCCTGTTCTTTTCTTAAATCCCCCTCTTTTTTTTTTTCTCTTTCTTTCAATATTTACAATGTTCAAACTCTCCAGAACTACACTAAGCTTGTATTAAAAGGATGTGATGTAACTATAACTGCAATGTACTAATCAAAACTATAGCATTTGATGTAACTCTACCAGGACACGATTGTTAATGCATAACTGACCATGTTCCCCCCCCCCCCTTATATATGCGAAGAAAAAGCAATAAAAATTGTCAAATTTAAAAAAATTAAATAAAAGGCATGTGGTTTCCAAAGACTATGATGATTACATGATAACCATATTTTCGGCCATGGTGCTTGAAATGTCCCTTTAAAAGTGAAGATGGCTAAACTGCTGGTAACTCAAGGTGCCTTTGATCTGATGCAGGTCAGACCCCTCTGCAGGCTCTTAAAGATGGGCTTTTGCACTGCAAATCTGCCCATGTTACAAACCATATTGTTTCATAATGATGCAACATCCACATGCCTGACACCTACTGAAATAGCAATTATGGCACACACTCGGCAGCTCCTTAGTCGCAGGTTATTATATAAAGTTCTGTTAACAGGCTCTCTATCTCCGCCAAGTACGCTTCTAAAGATAGAAAGGCCATTTTGTGTAGTCTTAGAACAGATCTGTCTCTGATATAATTATTCATGTATGAGGTTGTAATGCTGCTTCCCCCAGACGTAGCCGTGTGCTAGACGTAGTGGATGTCCTTTTTATTTGACATTATTCCCTGTTTAACAGTAGCAATGTCAGATGCTAGCAGTATAAAATGAAATCATTTTTACTACAATATGGTCAGATAAGGACAGCTTCAACAACTTATTTTTTACAACTTGGGAAAAATATGTTAGGGTTTAGAACAGTGCAGTATATATGTCACTGATCACGTGAACAACATCCTACGGGTACAGTGGCAATTAGCAAACGGAGAAGATCTGCATGTTCTACATGAGTGAATCCGCACGTTCCCAGTGCAGGATGTATTTAATCATTTAAAGAGCTGTAAGACTGACTAGCATGAGGGACTGCACTTGTAAATGAATTGTGTTTGCACTAGATGTGCGACGGTTGTGAATTTTAGGGGCAGACGTGGGTAAGAGCCAGTCCGAGCTCACCTTTGCTTTTAGAGGTGGAATGCCATGGGAATCCACTACTGATTGTAACTGACGATATGTATCAGGTGGAAGCTGCGGTAATCTCCTCCCTTTACCAACTTTTGCAAGCAGTTGGGGTCTCCTAGATTGTAAGCTTGTTTGAGCAGGACTATCTTCACCTCTTGCATCTGTCGGCACTATTTTGTCTCTCAAATATTTGCTGTAAAGTACTGCAGAAATGGTTAGCGCAATAAAACTGATGATAATAACAAATAAGTTGTCTATCATGGCATTCAAATTTCAATGAAACAGTATAAATGAGTTTTCCATATAGGTTCTTCCTATAGGAATGAATCTATAATGACAGTGCCGTTTTCACATCCGCTGTTTGCCAATGTTTGTGCAGATGGGGTTTGTAATTGCAATCTAAGTATGTAAGCAGACACAGAATGTCTAGCCCTGAAGCAGGAGTCCAACCTTTGCCCCCAGCCATAGCTATGCATACTTTCACATAATTCTTTGCCAGAGATTAGATGGAAGAGGATTCTGGGCCATGTCTGTCACCCGGTGGATTGGATACATTTGCTGTAGTCCTAATGCCAAACATGCTGATAACAGGAAAACATAAAAGTAATTGAGGGAATATTTTATTATTTTTAAAAGCAACGTAAACCATGCAACGTTTTCCTGCAGTGGCAGATGGAATACTGCAAGCCTTCTTATTCCGACCAAGCAGGTGGCAGCTAAATTGTTACTTTTCCTCCCCCAAAATGCAAATGTCTCGGGATTATGCATCCCATCCCCAACGCTACAGGGACCAAAATGCTTCTGATTCTCCCAGGGTGAAGGTTTCAGTATCAGCGGAGAGCAAAGGTTATCCAGTCAGTAAATCCATTAATCCATCAAAAATAAATATTTCTCAAATTAGGATTATAAAAAGCGAACGTGGGCATATTCTAAGGCTCTCTATTGCAGCGGAGACACACGCAGCATCAATACAGCTGTGGAGCCATAGGTTCCCTGCACTGATTAACAGCCCTGTGTTTTCAATCTGTGTAAAACAAGTCAACCAGAAGCCTTGCATTAGTTCCCCGTCCTCGCCTAGTGTATTGCATTTGGGTTACATCAGAAAGAGCCCGCCATAATAAACAGCGAGGAGTGTTATCACAGCATGCTCACTGAAGCCTTACTAAGGACTTCCTTTATGTTCTATCCATTCTGGTGACGGATGCTCTCTTATTCCTGCTAAGTATATTGCCACCCAGAGGTGTACTGTCTACAAGATGAAAATAGACAAGGAATGTATCTCATGATTCGCGTGGTACACCGTGCCCAGAAACATTAATATTAACTAAGGAGTAAGCTGTGATCCTCGCTACATTCCACTAAAAACTATGACTGGCACACAGGGATCAGCGTATTTTAAAGTGAACTCGTCAGATTTCGAACGCTGCTTTTGTAAAAGTATTCACTGAAAACGGGTTTGGTTTTATACAATAATGTACAATCGTAAAGTCAAGTTATGGGTAACGGTCATGTCCCAGGAGTTTTAGATTTCACGTTTGTGAGAACAGGCAAATAAAATGAAATGTAGAAACCCACACGACTGTATTTAACTTTATCATGGAGCAGAAACAGATACTATCTGGGTTATTTACTAAACTGAGAATTCAGAGTAAATGATACATTTAAGGCTAAAAAAGCAGAATTGGAAAAAGTCATATGTTTCTAGTTCGGCTTTGGTTGAGTTTGAAATTTGCTCTGAATTCCCAAGACTTTCCTTATTAGTGAATAGCACTCTAAGCTTCTATTTGCAATGGAATGTGTGCCAGGCTGTGCCAGGACTGAACTGGATTTTGAGGTCAACTGATAAATCTTTAATGAACATTTAAAAGGAAACAGCATCACACAAAAGCAAAAGTTAACACAGGTTATAGGAGATTTTCAAGGTTTTATTCAATGGTGGTTTTTCCAGAGAATCAATTTTGCTTGATCCAGCGCCGAGGTCAAGTTGTCACCGCAGTCCGATCCTCCTCAGGTGACATCACTCCTTCTCACCAGAGTAGGAGGGAGGTCAGAGAAGGCAGTCTGAGGGAGGACATGGGCAGTAAGTTTTATTATATATTTGTTTTTTTGTGGGGGGTTTTTAGGGGGAAGAGGGGTTATCATGCCCTCTACCAGCTGTTCGTAGAACTGCACTGCTTTGGACAGAGACATCAGATTTCCCATCTGGTATCTACTGAAGCCACGTGGGGCAACAAAAGGAATTTCAGATACATATTGTGATTTTAAAGCACAAGCAGGTTTATTTACTGAAAGCCGATTGTGGCGAGTTGAACTCGGAAGTGCAGAATTTTGCCTCAAAATTCTCAATTTCAGCAATAGTCACAGCATGGCTACTTTTGCCTGAATGCAGTTTAGTGAATAAACGTATAGAAGTGATCCTTATTCTTCGGAGTGTCTCTGAGACAGTTGAATGAATAATCTGGGACATGTCCAACTGATTGGACACTGGAAGAGCATGTAAACCTCTTTATAACTGTTCTGGTAGAAAGAAGCAATGTACTGTGCATGCAAGCCTGGCTGCGTTCTGTGATGTATTATACGTTAAAAAAGGTCATAGCTACAGCTTGCACCAGTGCACAATAAACATATATAGTCACCTCTGCCCAGCTGAATAAAAAGCAAAGACGATGATTTATAAACCAGAGTTTAGCTTCATAGACGAGTCAAAATATACTGGACAGTGAATGTATCAATGTTTTTCTATTTTATTAAATTTCATTTTTTTCAACATTAGATTTTTATTTTTTCAAACAATAATCCCATAAATATAGAGACTTTTTACATGGGCTTCTCCAGCAGAATGTTACGTGGCTCACCCTGAGGAATAAGGAGAGCGTCAACCAACAAAAACAAAGAGCAATGTAGTAAGTTGTGAGAAGCACTTGGAATGAACAGCATTCTAACTGAGCCCTACCTTTCAGAAACAGACTCCATAAGGTTAAGTTAATTCCAATTACATCTGCTAGTTCTCAAATTGCTTATTCATAAAGACAAAACAGTCTTCTTTTACTTTATCTCCCACTCAAAGTTTCCTGCCATCCGCTATTTCTATCTGTACAATAGAATTCGTCTAATTCCCCTGCATAATGCTGGCGAGGGAAGGGGAAATTTAAATGGTCCTGTCACTAAACAGAAGAAGCATGATGATGGGCACAGGGTGAATTTTATTCTAGGTATGTTCTCCTATTGTAGAGAACATAATATTCTGCTTAGACTTTCTTGCCCTTGCCAGGAAGCAATTTTCAGCATGTGTTATATGACTATGTATTTTAAAAGGCAATTTGAAAATACCATTTATAACGGAGTCCGGGGAATAGAGTGCCATGGGCAGTAACAAACACCCTGCTACATTACATCGAGTGGGCAGCTGCAATTGAAGCCACTGAATCATTTGTTGCTTTCAGCTTACACAAGCTCAGTCAATGCCAATTTATTTCAGAGAAAAAATAGTTTTAATGTCACAAAGTTATACGTAACTTGAATTAAAGTTTGCACTGAGCCAGTCTGAAATAAAGAAGATCCGTGGCAGAATAGTTCTTGTATGGTACTGCCATTGTGAATATCGAGTGTTAAGAAATGAATGAAATAGGCCTACTTGGCAGTGAGGTGGATAAGAAACACTCAAGAACATGGAAAGATTTACATGTAGAGGTTAGGCATAAACAGATGATGGAACATTATAGACAACCTAAATATTCTGTAAAGTGCCTAAGCCAGGCTGATTGCAGATACACTGAAAATTCAAGCTTATAGTTCACGCCACTAGCATTATATATAAACTATAGCTCTACGGCTATACAGAGAACCAGAGTCTCTGTACGTATCCCGGTACATCCAAATCAGTTTATACTGACAGATCATAAAAACATATCAGCAACACTCAGCTGAATCCAGGCAACAGCAGGGATCGTATTAGATACTCTCTGACTATTAAAATGAATAATATTAATAGATAGTTAACCAAGAAGACAGCATTAGCGTTTAACTAGTTTTCATCCTTGGACTCAATGTTATTATTACCTCCCTTAATTAATACGACTTCCTATTGCACAGGGAGAGTTTATGCCAAGGGAACAATTACAAGTCCTATTTCCTCTGGCATAAATTCCAAATATGTCTGATCAGTTTAGGTCTAAACAAACTGTTGACATTTCATTTGTTAATTAGAATTCTTTCTATTACCATAAATGAATGCCATGACAACTGAAACTTCTTAAAATGTTACTGGAATGATATAAGCTCATTAGAGGATCTGGCAGTAACATCTTCTCAACTACATCCTCACCAGCTTGAATCTTTCTTATACTGCATGCCAAGACAATGGGTCAGGTTGGTGCATTATACATGATAATGTTACTATTATCCACTAAAAGAGCTTTGATCTGGATCGGTTGATCTCCTAATACAATCAGCCAGATACCACTTAAAGGTTTACTTCCTGACAAAGAGCACTTGAGTGATCTGAAGTGGGTATAGTGCATGGAGTCTGTATGTGCAGCGTTTCACTATGGGATGTTGCACATACCGAGTTTAACCCCTTTGCTGCCAGATGTGTAACAGCACCTTCGGCAGCATCACATGTCATCAGCCAGCCTTGAAGAAGACTTCTAGGGTGGCTAATGTCAATTCTGTGCAAATCTAAATACACATATCCTCATTCATTGGCTGAGAACAGTCATCTGAAACTCTTGGACAATTAATGAGCGGCAGGTTCCACACCCAACATCTGCAGGTCTGAAGAAGTCAAATGTTATAAAACCTGCATCGCAGAAGGACCAGGTAAGAGGGCAAAATGTTGTAAAACAGTTTGCCCCATTACTGGGATACGGCACCTGGATACATTTACCATCATAACCACCCCAACAGTTTGTAACGCTTTAATTCATTATTCAGCATCGCCACTCAACAGCGGTCTTGTCTCTAAATTAGGATGCTGCGTAAATTACTAAAATTGAATGAAGTATTAAAAACCACCTATTATATGTAAAGCATTGGTGTAGTCCACAAACAATTACTGGGTGAGGGGGTTACTGTCTGAGTGAGGGGATTACTGTCTGAGTGAGGGGGTTATTGCAATGGCCAAGGTTAGCAATGATTGCACTAGAAGATATCTTATACTTAGTAATCTATAAAATAGGTAGAACAAAACAATAGAAACAAACAATACAGTGCAATATGTTTTAGAAATGAATCTCTTTGTTTCACTTTTTTTTAGATATTTGGCATTGAATAATGAATAGACCATGTTGATACATGCATGTATATGTATTTAATGTGTAATTTCAATTAAGGGTTTGTAGCGGAGATGCAATATTCCCCAGGTTATCTCCGCTTATAATCCAAGTGAGGCTCAGGAACAAGTAAATAGTAAATCCACAGGCAAGGTTTCCAGCAGGTAAAATAACAGCAGTATCCCAACAGCAATCCCAATAACTGGACGACACACAGTTTCAGGAGCAGAACTGAAAGCTTTAATCCACAGTGTCCTTTTAAAGCATGCTCCCATGCAAGGGAGGGATTTACAGTAATTATTACAGTAGCCAATCCTGTCCTGGTAACCTCCCACACATCTCCTCCCCTCAGCCAGCATCATAATCCCCTTATCCAGTACAGTAATTCCCCCCGTTTCTGGATGTACCCCTAAACGTAGGGGTACCTCTTTAAATCCTACATCCCCGGATAGCCCTGATCTGGGTGAACAACATATCCAAAAATCACCCAGATCAGACCAGGGGTTCGGGAAATGTATGGAGGGAATAAAATGACCGACCGCACTAACTGAGACAGCCGAATGTGGTTCCATGCGAATGGGCCCTGCGGTCGGTCCTGGAATAAGGGAACAAACTACACGAAAGCCTCTAGCTATAGAGGCTAGGGAGGGTTCGCCTGAATCCCCTCGTTCGGTTCTTTCTATCTACCGAACGAGGGGCCGTTCGGTAGTTAGGAACCGAACGGACCGGGCTTGTGGAGGTTTCAGCGGTGTTCGCCTAGTCGAGTGTCCGATTTGAGTTCCAGACACTCGACGGCAAAACACCGCTGTTCGGGAGTTTTAAAATGGCCGCCGCCACGTGTTCGTTTGTCGAATGGCGGCCACCCCCGAGAACAAAGGACGGCTACTTAACTTGTCAATTACCCGTTCGCAACATGTTGCAACGGGTAATTGAGGACACACTTCACACAGGGGAGGTCTGATGGTTCGGTAGTTTCATTTGAATAAACTAAGGGAATGAAACTACCGAACCATCAGAGGAATACAATTCTTTTAAAAACATATAACAACAGCAGATCACACGAATGCAGTCATTCACAATACATTTGCAGGACAGCCCAGTGCCATCCGCTACAGGGTTAAACTCCTCTAGGCTTGGTTATCTATTGTTTGTTCCACCTATTTTGTACTTTCACAAGGTTGCTGAAACCTTGTAAGATGTACTGCAGCCTTTACTATAAGTGTAGGGTGAGCACCTATATTTGTACCTTCTCTTCAAACTTAGCAATGTGTACTACTGGGATCAATACAAATGTTTACACAATATGTTTACTATATAATTACAATGACAGAGAACCAGGAGACAAGGCTTATAGGACATCAAATAACATAGGGCAAATGCGGTAAAGGTTTTAACGAGCGTTGTGTATCACTGTTTGCGTTAAGTTAATTAGTGCTGTCAGTTGTGACACAGCAATGTGCCTCAGTCTAGTGTTCTTGTCATTAGAAATTAATATGCATGTATCGCCTTTCTCTCTGGAGCTGTAGATAGCGACTGTGTTCGTGATTTCAGATTTTTTTCTATTCTGTTCCATGATGCTTGCTTATACGCTAGACCTTATTCCAAAGAAATCTCGGAACAATTTCAACTTGTTTTATATTAATTTACACTAAGACTAAAACAAACAAAAACAAAAGACAATGCACTGGGGCAGATTAGACCAGCACGCTCAGACTATTGTTGCCTTAATATTGTGTAGAAGTGTACTTTCTCTACTATCAGAGCGGCTGCAGGGAGTTTGGGTTGTGGATGAAAGGGAAATAGCTATTTTTTCTTCTTCTCTAGGTTGCCCTAAAAATAGTTTGACAGAAAAATGGACTTGACATACCCTCACAGCACCATAAGCACTAAAGAGCTGTTGTGGTTATGGTGCCTAGAGTGCCCCTTTACAATACAGCCAAACATACTATACATCCTTGTTTGCAGGACGGGTGGGGTGTTTAACACCCTGTGTATATACACACATCATTATTTGGTATGAATATCACCTGAATAAAATAAAAAAAAATTGAAATCATTTTGAACAAAAACCCCCCCCAAAAAACAAATATACTTAAACGTTTCGGCTACATTTGACAGTTTTAGGCCAAATATTACAAGATGTCAATATTGTTGTAAAGTTAAAAACTGTGCCTCTAATTTCACAATAAAACCTATAATATCTTCATGTATGTTTGAATAGTGTTTTTATTTTTCTATCTTTGAATTTATGTTGAGGAGACAGCTTCTAGTTAACACTTCCTGCATCCTAGCTTGTTATATCTAACAGGGCGTATTTACTACAGTGAGAACTCACAGGAAGTCAACATGAATTTCAAATTTAAGGCTAAAATAGTTGAGCTGGAAAAAGTCAGCTATGCTTCCAGTTCAGCTACTTTGGTCTGAAAAGCAAAATTCCAGACAATTTTAGTAAATATCTCTACCAGTGAGAGGATTTGCTAATCAAAGGAAAACTGGGGGGGGGGGAGGGGGAGGAAATCAGCATCACGGTGGAACATCAGCCAAACATGTTACCATTTCATCATTTAATTCCAACTCACCTAAAGCGTGTTCCGATGCTGGAGTTCAATCTCCATTTCATGGGATCAGATAAATATATGTGGCACCGACTCCACGGCTGGATCCTGTTTGATAATTACAATAATATTAACAAATAAATACATAGGGATTTGATAATAAATTAATTGCAGCTTAAAATGACAAATGCAAAGAAATTGCCCAAAATGTATCTTCAGACCCACTTTTCGCATGGTATGCCATCATTTACTAATTCAATGCTAAAACCTGGAAGATGTACAAGTTGTGAGCAGTTGTTTTATCTTTAAAGCTTGCCGTTATTTAACCCCTTAGCTGCCAGGCCATTTCAAACAATTCTTATTGTTTTCCATGAATTTATACAATGATAACAGTGCTTTTTGTTAGTTACCTTCACAAATAAGGTTGTTGTTGTGCAAATCATGCACTTTAAGCAAATAACTTTAGTTTGCACAATTTATATTTGTTTGTTACGCCCTCACTATAAGAAATATCTGGGCACACGTAGATCCAATTGCAGACGTTTAACGGAAATGAACAGCCAACCAGTGATGCGGTTTTGCATTTGCTATTCCTATGGTCACCGACCTCCAGCTTCCTTCTTTATATTTTCTTTATGTGGGCAATTTGAGAGTGTAGTTTTACTTCTACCCGGTGCCTGGAATCTCCATAGGATTTATTTTTTTTACACGGTTTACTTCGAGTAAAGATGGTGGTGAGGTCATTGCCATTTTTTGGGATCTGGTGGAGATGTCTTGTTTACGTGAGTACAAAGGTTACGCATTTTCCAATTATATTCATTGTTTTAATGTATTTGCAATGTTTTACTTCATTTATGCTGTCACTCATTATTGGATTAATTGGGTTTTTTGAGGCTTAAAAAAGGGTCCTGTTTGAGCCAAAACATAAAGTCCTCATTTCAATTAAAAGTCTGCAATTGGATCTGTGTGTGCCCAGATATTTGTTATTTTTATTAACTATTGGGGTCTTGTCACCCTAATTTTGATGAGTGCTAGTTCTGTTTATTGAGTTACCCCCTCACCCAGACAGTAACCCCCTCACTCTGTTATCCCCCTCACCTAGACAGTAAACCCCTCACCCAGACAGTAAACCCCTCACCCAGACAGTAAACCCCTCACCCAGACAGTAACCCCCTCACCCAGACAGTAAACCCCTCACTCTGTTATCCTCTCACTCTATGAGTCTGTTACCCCCTCACCCAGACAGTAACCCCCTCACCTAGACAGTAAACCCCTCACCCAGACAGTAAACCCCTCACCCAGACAGTAACCCCCTCACCCAGACAGTAACCCCCTCACCCAGACAGTAACCCCCACTCAGACAGTAACCCCCCACCTCAGACAGTAATCCCCCTCACCCAGACAAAAACCCCTACCTCGTATTGTAGTAAATCTCACCTGCAGACACAAAAATTCCCTACCCAGACATAGTAAATCTGCATCAGACAGAGACAGTGGCCACCTCTCTAGATAGTAGTAACCCTCACTCAGACAAAACCCCTCACTGCACAGTAACCCTCACCCACAGTAATCCTCACCCAGACAGTAACCCCTCACTCAGACATTGTGCAACCCCTCACTCAGACAGAAACCCCTCACCCAGACAGTAACCCTCACCCAGACAGTAACCCCCACCAGACAGTGTAACCCTCACCCAGACAGTAAACCCCCACCTGTGACAGGCAACCCCCACCAGACAAAAACCCCCCCTCACCCAGACAACCCCCTCACTGACAGTAACCCCCTCACTCAGAGACAGTAACCCCTCACCAGACAGTAACCCCCTCACCCAGACAGTAGGCCCTCCTGCCCAGACAGTAATCTCCCTACCCAGACAGTAACCCTCACCAGATAGCAACCCTCACTCAGACAGTAACCCCCCTCACTCAGACAGTAATCCCTCCTCAGACAGTGCCCCCCACCTGCATAAAAACCCCCAACGTGACAGTAACCCCCTCACCTTCAGACATTGTGCACTCCTCACCCAGACAGTAACCCTCATCCAGACAACCCCTCACCATTGTGTGTAACCCCCTCACTCGGCTGTGCAAACCCCCTACCTGCATGTAACCCCCTACCTGCATAAAACCCTCACTCTGTTATTCTCTCACTCTGTGAGCCTGTTACCCCCTCACTCAGACAGTAACCTCCTCACTCTGTTATCCTCTCACTCTATGAGTCTGTTACCCCCTCACCCAGACAGTAACCCCCTCACCCAGACAGTAAACCCCTCACCCAGACAGTAAACCCCTCACCCAGACAGTAAACCCCTCACCCAGATGCCAGTAACCCCTCACCTGTGACAGTAACCCCTCACCCGTGACACAGTAACCCCCTCACCTGCATGTAACCCTCACTCAGACAGTAACCCCTCACTGCACCCCCTCACCCGTGACAACCCTCACTACAGTAACCCTCACCTGTGACAAATCTCCCCACCCAGACAACCCCTCACCCAGACAGTAACCCCTCACCTGTGACATTGTGTAACCCCCTCACTCAGATAGTGTAACCCCCACCAGACAGTAACCCCCTCACCAGATAGGCAACCCCCCTCACCTGCACAGTAATCCTCCCCTGCATTGTGCAACCCCCACCTGTGACAGTAACCCCCCTATCCAGACAGTAACCCTCACCAGACAGTAATCTCACCCATTGTGCAACCTCATCATCCAGACAGTGCACCCCCTCACCTGCATAGTAAAACCCCTCACCCAGACAGTAACCCCCTACCCAGACAGTAACCCTCACCCAGTAGATGGTGTGTCCCTCACTCTGTTATTCTCTCACTCTGTGAGCCTGTTACCCCCTCACTCAGACAGTAACCTCCTCACTCTGTTATCCTCTCACTCTATGAGTCTGTTACCCCCCTAACCCAGACAGTAACCCCCTCACCTAGACAGTAAACCCCTCACCCAGACAGTAAACCCCTCACCCAGACAGTAAACCCCTCACCCAGACAGTAACCCCCTCACCCAGACAGTAAACCCCTCACTCTGTTATCCTCTCACTCTATGAGTCTGTTACCCCCTCACCCAGACAGTAACCCCCTCACTCAGACAGTAACCCCCTCACTCAGACAGTAACCCCCTCACCCAGACAGTAACCCCCTCACCCAGACAGTAACCCCCTCACCCAAACAGTACCAGACCATTGCCATGCTCATCTGTTAGCCACGCCCCTTCCGGTCAGATGACACAGACTCCGCCCAGGTCCGCCTCCAAGGAACTGACTGACTGGGAAAAGGGGCGGGGAGTGATGCTGATTGGCAGGGTGGCAGCAGGCAGATGGCTGGCAGGGACATGGTGCAGACAGAAGATGGTTGGCAGGGACCTGGTGCAGAAGGAAGATGGCTGGCAGGGACATGGTGCAGACAGAAGATGGCTGGCAGGGACATGGTGCAGACAGAAGATGGTTGGCAGGGACATGGTGCAGAAGGAAGATGGCTGGTAGGGACATGGTGCCGACAGAAGATGGTTGGCAGGGACATGGTGCAGACAGAAGATGGCTGGCAGGGACATGGTGCAGACTGAAGATGGCTGGCAGGAACATGGTGCAGACTGAAGATGGTTGGCAGGGACATGGTGCAGACTGAAGATGGTTGGCAGGGACATGGTGCAGACAGAAGATGGTTGGCAGGGACATGGTGCAGACAGAAGATGGCTGGCAGGGACCTGGTGCAGGCAGAAGATGGTTGGTAGGGACATGGTGCAGGCAGAAGATGGTTGGCAGGGACATGGTGCAGGCAGAAGATGGTTGGTAGGGACATGGTGCAGACTGAAGATGGTTGGCAGGGACATGGTGCAGACTGAAGATGGTTGGCAGGGACATGGTGCAGACAGAAGATGGTTGGCAGGGACATGGTGCAGACAGAAGATGGCTGGCAGGGACCTGGTGCAGGCAGAAGATGGTTGGTAGGGACATGGTGCAGGCAGAAGATGGTTGGCAGGGACATGGTGCAGGCAGAAGATGGTTGGTAGGGACATGGTGCAGGCAGAAGATGGTTGGCAGGGACATGGTGCAGACTGAAGATGGCTGGCAGGAACATGGTGCAGACTGAAGATGGTTGGCAGGGACATGGTGCAGACTGAAGATGGTTGGCAGGGACATGGTGCAGACAGAAGATGGTTGGCAGGGACATGGTGCAGACAGAAGATGGCTGGCAGGGACCTGGTGCAGGCAGAAGATGGTTGGTAGGGACATGGTGCAGGCAGAAGATGGTTGGCAGGGACATGGTGCAGGCAGAAGATGGTTGGTAGGGACATGGTGCAGGCAGAAGATGGTTGGCAGGGACATGGTGCAGGCAGAAGATGGTTGGTAGGGACATGGTGCAGGCAGAAGATGGCTGGCAGGGACATGGTGCAGGCAGAAGATGGCTGGCAGGGACATGGTGCAGACAGAAGATGGCTGGCAGGGACATGGTGCAGACAGAAGATGGCTGGCAGGGACATGGTGCAGACAGAAGATGGCTGGCAGGGACATGGTGCAGGCAGAAGATGGCTGGCAGGGACATGGTGCAGGCAGAAGATGGCTGGCTGGGACATGGTGCAGACAGAAGATGGTTGGCAGGGACATGGTGCAGACAGAAGATGGTTGGTAGGGACATGTTACAGACAGAAGATGGTTGGCAGGGACATGGTGCAGACAGAAGATGGTGGTTGGATGGGAGGGGCAGCAATAGTTTGAATGAAGTTAAACACCTGTAAAGTCATTTAACACAATGCACACCCTGCGATACCACCTAACTATCCAACACAGGGAGTGTGGCACCTGACCAAAGCATTACTAGGGGGAGGGAGTCAGAGATGGTACCATGCTTTGTTTACATGATTAACAAACTAGGTATTTGATATAATTATATGTCTCTGTATATGGCAATGAATGTGTGACTGTACCACTTTAAAGGGACACTATAGGCACACAGACCACCTAATCTCACTGAAGTGGTCTGGGAGCTGTGTCCTTGTCACCCTTAGTCCTGCAATGTAAATCATTGCCGTTTTTTGAGAAACTGCAGTGATTACATTGCAGGACTAACACTACAATTCCTCTAGTGGCTTTCAATCAGACATCCAGCATCCGATAAATCCCTATAGAAAAACATTGTAGCAATGCTTTCCTACAGGGGGGGGCCTAATGCGCTCACTGTGCATGCGCCTAAACCCCTGTCGGAGGAGGCTTAGCAATTTTGAGTGTCTCTTCCCCCAAGCCCCTTTTTTGCATCTCTTCCCCAGTCCCTATGTCTCTTTTTCCCTGCCCCCGGGCCCTTTTTGTGTCTTTTTAGTCCCCTCCTTAAAGGACCACTATAGTGCCAGGAAAACATACTCGTTTTCCTGGCACTATAGTGCCCTGAGGGTACCCCCACCCTCAGGGTCCCCCTCCCGCCCGGCTCTAGAATGGGGAAAGGGATTAAATCTTACCTTTTTCCAGCGCTGGGCGGGGAGCTCTCCTCCTCCGTTCCTTCTCTTCTCCTCCCATGCGGCTAAATGCGCACACACGGCAAGAGCTGCGCGCGCATTCAGCCGGTCACATAGGAAAGCATTCATAATGCTTTCCTATGGACGCTGGCGTGCTCTCACTGTGAAAATCACAGTGAGAAGCACGCAAGCGCCTCTAGTGGCTGTCAATGAGACAGCCACTAGAGGAAATAGGGGAAGGCTTAACCCATTCATAAACATAGCAGTTTCTCTGAAACTGCTATGTTTATGAAAAAATGGGTTAACCCTAGCTGGACCTGGCACCCAGACCACTTCATTAAGCTGAAGTGGTCTGGGTGCCTAGAGTGGTCCTTTAATCCCTTTGTAGTCTCTTTTCCCTGCCCACACTTCCATGTGAGGTATAACCCCACGTGTTCTTCCATATCTCCATCCTTCTAGCATGGCAGCGTGGACCACAGTAGAGAATCATCTGTAATCTCCCAGAGAAGCTTCCTGTCAGACCTGGTAGGAGATGCAGAAGATCCCCTACTGCAGTCCGCACTGAGAGTCATGCGGTCATTGCGACCCCCAGGAGCAGTGCGCTCTAAGGTAGCCACCTGTGCTGCCTTATAGTTGCGCCAGCCCTTTTGATGCATCCTGTCTTAAGTTTATGGAAGATCAGAATCTGTATGGGCATCCAACTGTATCTGAAAATACAGTTGGGCTCAAGCAGAGAGATTGCAGCCCTAATTCCATAGCTTTTACTGGTATTGTCATTAATTTGTCCCAGGAACCCTTATATTGTATTTGCTTAGTAAGTTCCACTAACATTAAAGGACATTCCAAACACCTTAAATCACTTTATTTTGCTGAAGTGCTTTATGTGTGAAGAGTGTGTCTTCTTTTTTTATTTTACAAAAAGTGAAGATTTCTATAGAAATTGTCACTTTTATAAATGAACCTTGTTACACCCCCCTGGCCGTCAATCAGACAACTGGTCCTGTTACTTCCTGGTTTTGTTAGCTTATTTGCACTGAACTCAAGAGGCAGCAATTGCCCAGAGCACCTGCTTTGCAAAGACTTCTCATCGGGCAGCCTGTGCTTGGACAGCCACAGGAAGTCTGGATGGGGTTAGTAGGGGAGTGCTTGCAAAGGCTACAAACAAGAGTTTTTACAAGCTGTTTTTAGATATATCCCAAAGAAGAATTACATAATTAAACAAATGCATGTTTTAATTGGGGGTATATCTACTAAATAGTGATTTATAAACAGCTATCTATATATATGTGCTTGAGTAGTGGAGTGTCCCTTTAAGCAGCAATAGGCAAACCATGTAATTTTAAGGATTGTTAGCCTAATTTCCATTCTACCTTTGTGGGATGTTCCAACTTTAATGGAGCCACAGGGTCCTAACACTTTTGATTCTTTAATAAGTGTTCAATCAGATTTCCTTTGTATTTCATCTTCATGATTTTAATTGGTTACTCTAAGGACCATAACCACAACAGCGTATTGTATGATTTCAGTGTATTGTAGTGGTTATCGTGCTAGGAGTCTCTGGGTGCAGTGCCTCAATTTCTATGTTGTTTGACAAACCTGGTCTCCCCTTGGCACTCAAGCCCAGGTTTGCATCTCCATTATCTCTGTGGGAGCAGGGAAACCAGGCTGGGGTGCCGATACTGGAGTCACTGCACCCAAAGGTTTCTTGCACCATAACCACTACAATAGCAACAATAAGGGATCTCTGTGTTATTAAACTATGCAATTTTTAGAGCTTTTAGCTTATTTTTACATTCATGCTGATTCTTATTATTTTTCTACTAAACCAGGGTTATTTTATCACAATAAGTACAATGATCTACATCCAAGGCACACTTTGCACAATGTTGCTAATATTGTAATATTTCCTACACAACACAGACAATTTGTGTTTTGTTGTTTTCTGTTAAAGCTTGTTTCTTTTCTTATAGCTGTCTGTTGGGTTGGCAAATCTATTGTGGTTTTCTGATGAAGGTATCCCATACACGTGTGACATTGTTATGATAAAGTATTTCTCACTTTGCCCTTCTTATTCAGCACTTCCAAAAATAGAACCTCGGAATCATCATTATTTTTCTTGTCTCCGACTCCGAGACAAGTGACATTTTACCTAATCTGTTCCATAGAGGCAGCATTCAGATTTTACCTTTAACAGTAGCAGATACTTGCATTCCATTGTCCATGCGCACTTGATCGGAATGAAAGTGGCATGTCACTTATCTTTGATCGAGAATCACAGAGCTCCCTAATGGGTCTTCTTTTTTCATTTTTTCATGTCCAGCATTAGAATAAAAATCGAGTGGATATTGAGAAAATGTATGAGATGGAATGCTTCTAAAACCTCACCTGTTAAAATATATAACTAAAACGGCAGATTCATTAGCTATGGTTAGCTGGTTAAACCACCCCAGTTAGTGAGGGGCAGTGATTAATCATTCATTCTATCTATCAAGTTACATTACCCTATTCAGTCAGAGTTATTAATAGGGCATAGTTTTAATTAATTGGTGGGAGCCTTCTCTACTTTGATTTGGCCGAGATATTGACCCTGATTTAGGAGATTTGTGGTTTCAAGCTAAATCATTTAGAAGTTTAATTTTGTACTTTGAAAAGAAATACTTAAATTTATCTTTCCCACGTAACAGTGTATAAACCAATATAAAAAATAAAAAATACATTTTGGGTACCTTATTACAATGCACCTGGCAACTTAATTTGGCAATCTTTTCACTACGTGTACGGTAAGTTGTCTTAAGTTGAAATAACCTTGTTACGATCTCTATACTCTACTATGATTTTGATTTCATTGTGAAACAGTGTAACTAAAACTTCAAGTTGCATGCTACTAGCCAGACCTTAAGATGACTTGCCTCTGCAAGCCTGGAGAGTTCATGGCATACTCACTAGGGGTAAGTTTCTGTTGACCAGAGCAAAATTTTCACTCACCAATGGCTAGTGTTGTGTGAAAATTGTAAGCCTAAATCTAGGTCATTTGCTTTAATGTAGAGGAACAGCCATACATCACAGACAAAAGCCTTAACAAATGTCTGGAGTTGCGGGATCTATTTTGCAGAGAGAACCTGTCTGGATTTTCACTTCTAAATCTCTGTGATAGGTGGGGCGCCCTCTGAAATGGCAAACGTGAGCTGAAACATTTTGAGACTTTAACAGGGAATAACCATATGTTAAGCAATAAGGCTTTTATTATTTTAACGTTCACTTGTATTCTGTTTGGGTTTATTTGCAGTAATTGTAAAAATATTTCCATATATTCTCAAAATATATATATATATACAAAATATTCTAGATATTTATTGCTTTATCCTTATTTGTCTCATCAGGGCGAATGTTCCCAGAAGTGTTACAACATCTTCATCATCGAAACCGTGTGTGTAGCATGGTTCTCCTTGGAGTTTTGTTTACGATTTGTCCAGGCAAAAAGCAAATGCCAGTTCTTCAGGGGACCATTGAATATTATCGATGTGTTGGCCATCTTGCCATACTACGTTTCACTCGTAGTGGAGGATGAACAAAAGACTCTTGACAAGCCTAGCAGCAACTCGTATCTGGAGAAGGTTGGGCTGATTCTCCGAGTTTTGCGTGCCTTGAGAATATTGTATGTGATGCGTCTTGCCAGGCACTCACTTGGTCTACAAACCTTGGGTCTCACAGTCCGAAGGTGTACAAGAGAGTTCGGGCTACTCTTACTCTTCTTGTGTGTCGCTGTCACTCTTTTTGCTCCGCTGGTCCACCTAGCAGAAAATGAAATGGGGAGATGCCAAGAATTTACTAGTGTGCCTGCTTCCTATTGGTGGGCTATAATCTCTATGACCACGGTAGGCTATGGTGATATGGTTCCAAGAAGCATTCCAGGACAAGTAGTGGCTCTCAGCAGCATTCTTAGTGGAATTTTAATCATGGCTTTTCCAGCAACCTCAATTTTCCACACTTTCTCTCGATGTTACTCAGAACTGAAGAGGGAGCAGGAAAGATTACAAAGCAGACTATTGAGGTTAAAAGATGCAAATCAGTCAGGTGAAAGCGATACCTTTAATGATACAGACAGTTTGGTCTCAGAAGATACATATAAGTATTTTTACACCACAAAATAAATGCTAATGTAACGGTAGGGCCATTACTTGAACAATAATCTGCCATTTTACAATAATCTGCCATTGAAGAATTACACAGAAATATTGCATCAGCCTGTGCATTAAACGATTAGCTGGTCTTACGTTATTAAACCAAATTTTGTTTGATCCAAACGAAAGGGTTGTTGGTCCTTGCGCACAATTATCAGTGAGTATTAGCAAAAAGGGAATATGTACACTGTTTAAAGACTGTCAAATATCTACCAGTTGGATTTATCACAACAATTTGCATCAAGATGAAAAATTATATTAAAATAATCTGGAATAAATATTCACTTTTTTTTTCAGCTGTCAGGAATATGTCTCTATTTAACAATGTTGGTTTTTCATTAACGTTTATTACAGCAATGGGTGCAAATTATTAATATGTCAAAAATTAGTGTCCATGCATTTAAAGGGACAGTAAAGCCTGGGACAGCTAATTTTCCCATTGTAAAGCGCTGCGGAATTTGATGGCACTATATAAATACCATAATAATAATAATTATTATTTACGGATGAACTTTGATCTGCACAGCATTCAGGCTGTCAGTGTCCCAAACAGTTTGGCCGTCTGCTGTTTAGATGCCTTCAGACCTGGGACAAGCAGACTGACATACATATTGTATTAAAGAACTTTGGACCTCACAGACGTCTTTAATGGAACACTCTAGTTACCCATTCTTATATATGCAAAAATAAATTTAAAAGAATAATAATAATTTGAGGTTGCTGCATTTAGTGCAAATATAAAGCTTTTACACAACGTTCTACATTACAAAGTGTAACGTGTACATAAACAGTGCTAACGTGTGGGAGCCTGGAGTGTCCCTTTAATTATATAAACCCACCTGGTATAACTAACTGTAACCTAACATACACAGTGCATCTAACGTGTGTGGCAGCTTGGAGTGTCCCTTTAATAATATAAACCCACCCAGTATAACTAACTGTAACCTAACCTACACAGTGCACCTAACGTTTGTGGGAGCCTGGAGTGTCCCTTTACTAATCTAAACCCACAGAGTTTAACTAACTGTAACCTAACCAAACAGTGCACCTAACGTGTGTGGGAGCCTCGAGTGTCCCTTTAATAATATAAACTCTCACAGTATAAATGTAACCTAACCTACACAGTGCATCTAACGTGTGTGAGAGCCTGGAGTGTCTCTTTAATAATATAAACCCATCCAGTATAACTAACTGTAACCTAACCTACACAGTGCACCTAACGTGTGTGGGAGCCTCGAGTGTCCCTTTAATAATATAAACTCTCACAGTATAAATGTAACCTAACCTACACAGTGCATCTAATGTGTGTTGGAGCCTGAAGTGTCTCTTTAATAATATAAATCCACCAAGTATAACTGTGACCTAACCTATATAGTGCATCTAATGTGTGTGGGAGCCCTGAGTGTCCCTTAATTAATATAAACCCACCCAGTATAACTAACTGTAACCTAACATACCCAGTGCACCTAACGTGTCCCTTTAATAATATAAACCCACCCAGTATAATTAACTGTAACCTAACCTACACAGTGCATCTAACGTGTGTGGGAGCCTGGAGTATCCCTTTAATAATATAATCCCACCCAGTATAACTGTAACCTAATCTACACAGTGCACCTAACGTGTGTGGGAGCCTCGAGTGTCCCTTTAATAATATAAACCCACCCAGTATAACTGTAACCTAACCTACACAGTGCACCTAATGTGTGTGGGAGCCACGAGTGTCCCTTTAATGATATAAACCCACCCAGTATAACTAACTGTGACCTACACAGTGCACCAAGCATGAGTGGGAGCCTGGAGTGTCCCATTAATAATATAAACCCACCAAGTATAACTAACTGTAACCTAACCTACACAGTGCATCTAACTTGTGTGGGAACCCGGAGTGTCCCTTTAATAATATAATCCCACCCAGTATAACTGTAACATAACCTACACAGTGCATCTAACGTGTGTGGGAGCCTGGAGTGTCCCTTTAATAATATAAACCCACCCTGTATGACTAACTGTAACCTAACCTACACAGTGCATCTAACGTGTGTGGGAGCCTGGAGTGTCCCTTTAATAATATAAACTCACCCAGTGTAACTAACTGTAACCTAACCTACACAGTGCATCTAACGTGTAAGAGCCTGGAGTGTCCCTTTAATAATATAAACCCACCCTGTATAACTAACTGTAACCTAACCTACACAGTGCACCTAACGTGTGTCAGAGCCTGGAGTGTCCCTTTAATAATATAAACCCACCCAGTATACACGGTGCAAATGTGTGTGGGAGCCTGTAACCTAACCTACACAGTGCACCTAACGTGTGTGGGAGCCTGGAGTGTCCTTTAATAATATAAACCCACCCAGTATAACTAACTGTAACCTAACCTACACAGTGCACCTAACGTGTGTGGGAGCCTGGAGTGTCCCTTTATTAATATAAACCCACCCAGTATAACTAACTGTAACCTAACCTACACAGTGCATCTAACGTGTGTGGGAGCCTGGAGTGTCCCTTTAATAATATAAACCCACCCAGTATAACTAACTGTAACCTAACCTACACAGTGCATCTAACGTGTGTGGGAGCCTGGAGTGTCCCTTTAATAATATAAACTCCTACCCAGTATCTAACGTGAACTGTATAACCTAACCTACACAGTGCACCTAATATTTAGGAGCCTGGAGTGTCCCTTTATTAATATAAACCCACCCAGTATAACTAACTGTAACCTAACCTACACAGTGCATCTAACGTGTGTGGGAGCCTGGAGTGTCCCTTTAATAATATAAACCCACCCAGTATAACTAACTGTAACCTAACCTACACAGTGCATCTAACGTGTGTGGGAGCCTGGAGTGTCCCTTTATTAATATAAACCCACCCAGTATAACTAACTGTAACCTAACATACCCAGTGCACCTAACGTGTCCCTTTAATAATATAAACCCACCCAGTATAATTAACTGTAACCTAACCTACACAGTGCATCTAACGTGTGTGGGAGCCTGGAGTATCCCTTTAATAATATAATCCCACCCAGTATAACTGTAACCTAATCTACACAGTGCACCTAACGTGTGTGGGAGCCTCGAGTGTCCCTTTAATAATATAAACCCACCCAGTATAACTGTAACCTAACCTACACAGTGCACCTAATGTGTGTGGGAGCCACGAGTGTCCCTTTAATGATATAAACCCACCCAGTATAACTAACTGTGACCTACACAGTGCACCAAGCATGAGTGGGAGCCTGGAGTGTCCCATTAATAATATAAACCCACCAAGTATAACTAACTGTAACCTAACCTACACAGTGCATCTAACGTGTGTGGGAACCCGGAGTGTCCCTTTAATAATATAATCCCACCCAGTATAACTGTAACATAACCTACACAGTGCATCTAACGTGTGTGGGAGCCTGGAGTGTCCCTTTAATAATATAAACCCACCCTGTATGACTAACTGTAACCTAACCTACACAGTGCATCTAACGTGTGTGGGAGCCTGGAGTGTCCCTTTAATAATATAAACTCACCCAGTGTAACTAACTGTAACCTAACCTACACAGTGCATCTAACGTGTGTGGAGCCTGGAGTGTCCCTTTAATAATATAAACCCACCCAGTATAACTAACTGTAACCTAACCTACACAGTGCATCTAACGTGTGTGGGAGCCTGGAGTGCCCTTTAATAATATAAACCCACCCAGTATAACTAACTGTAACCTAACCTACACAGTGCACCTAACGTGTGTGGGAGCCTGGAGTGTCCCTTTAATAATATAAACCCACCCAGTATAACTAACTGTAACCTAACCTACACAGTGCACCTAACGTGTGTGGGAGCCTGGAGTGTCCCTTTATTAATATAAACCCGCCCAGTATAACTAACTGTAACCTAACCTACACAGTGCATCTAACGTGTGTGGGAGCCTGGAGTGTCCCTTTAATAATATAAACCCACCCAGTATAACTAACTGTAATCTAACCTACACAGTGCATCTAACGTGTGTGGGAGCCTGGAGTGTCCCTTTAATAATATAAACCCACCCGGTATAACTAACTGTAACCTAACCTACACAGTGCATCTAGCGTGTGTGGGCCTGAGTGTCCCTTTAATAATATAAACCCACCCAGTATAACTAACTGTAACCTAACCTACACAGTGCATCTAACGTGTGTGGGAGCCTGGAGTGTCCCTTTAATAATATAAACCCACCCAGTATAACTAACTGTAACCTAACCTACACAGTGCATCTAACGTGTGTGGGAGCCTGGAGTGTCCCTTTATTAATATAAACCCACCCAGTATAACTAACTGTATCCTAACCTACACAGTGCATCTAACGTGTGTGGGGGCCTGGAGTGTCCCTTTAATAATATAAACCCACCCAGTATAACGAACTGTATCCTAACCTACACAGTGCACCTAACGTGTGTGGGAGCCTGGAGTGTACCTTTATTAATATAAACCCGCCCAGTATAACTAACTGTAACCTAACCTACACAGTGCATCTAACGTCTGTCGGACCCTGGAGTGATTTACTGAGTAATAACCCTTTGAAACATCATATGAAAACCATGCAATGCGATGCGTATATTTACTTTTATGCTACTTTTCCTAATTAAATCATTTGTTTAATCACTAGTGAAATTAATTCTGCATATTCACAGAACTCCTGACAAGTTTGGTAAATTGTGAGATTTTGCAGAGTTATCTAAATTTGTATCAGCACCCCGCAATCTTCCCCTAATTATTGTGGAATAATGTAGAGTAAACATTATTTCATGGAACTCTCGACAGAGGAAGGAAATAAAAACAGCGTGTTTTGTTATGAAATTAATGAGCTTGAATTCCCATAATGTTCGCTGCTTTACTCAACAGTGTGGAAAGTGATAAGCCCGCGCTTGTTACAGATTTTCTCATTAGGATTTTTGCTCGTGAAAAAAAGACTTTGTATTGAAATATCATTTTGGAAAATCAGGTCATAGAAGAAAAGTTTGCAGCCCGGGGACCTTTCAATCAATCAAACAAACTTAAATTATAAAGAGGGTAACAACGCCTATATGTTATCTTTTGAAATAATAAGATTTCCGTGTGCGGCGGAATAACAGCATGAGTTGAGAATTTAATGAGATAAGCAAGAACGCTGACTAACGTGTAACAATATGGGTTAACCTTGGGTGAAATCACTGTCAGACTAATAGCCGTCAAAACACAATGGGGGTTATGTATAAATGTGGGGAAATGGTTTCTAAGAAATTTTATTGCTATGGTGGGGTTAGTACAATTTGGCATTTTCTTATATGAGAAACAGAACTTTTTATATTTGCTTCGTCATGAAAAACGAACTACTGTGTCGTGGTCACAGTGGTGGTGACATGGTTCATTTTGTAGAAATAAAACTGCGTCAATTTGACCCCATTTTATACTTTGAGAGCACCAAAATTCTGAACAAAAAACAAACCAATGAAATTTCTGACGGGAATTATTTGGGAAATGTGTGAAAAACAAGTTCGACACGATTGCCACAGATCTTACTTCAGTAGTGGGGAAAGTAATGGAAACCATTTTAAAGGATAGGATTGTTAAACATCTAAAAACACATGGATTTCAAGATCAGAGACAACATGGGTTTACTTCAGGGAGATCATGCCAAACTAATCTTATTGATTTTTTTGATTGGGTAACTAAAATTATAGATCAGGGTGGTGCAGTAGACATTGCTTACCTAGATTTCAGTAAGGCTTTTGACACTGTTGCACATAGAAAGCTTATCAATAAACTGCAATCTTTAAGTTTGGATTCCAATATTGTTGAATGGGTAAGGCAGTGGCTGAGTGACAGGCAACAGAGGGTTGTAGTTAATGGAATATATTCAAAGCTTGGACTTGTCACCAGTGGGGTACCTCAGGGATCTGTACTTGGACCCATTCGCTTTAATATTTTTATTAGTGATATTGCAGAAGGTCTTGATAGTAAGGTATGTCTTTTTGCTGATGATACTAAGATATGTAACAAGGTTGATGTTCCAGGAGAGATAAGCCAAATGGCAAATGATTTAGGTAAACTAGAAAAATGGTCAGAGTTGTGGCAACTGACATTTAATGTGGATAAGTGCAAGATAATGCATCTTGGATGTAAAAACCCAAGGGCAGAGTACAGAATATATCTGATAGAGTCCTAACCTCAACATCTGAGGAAAGGGATTTAGGGGTGATTATTTCTGATGACTTAAAGGACCACTATAGGCCCCCAGACCACTTCAGCTCAATGAAGTTGTCTGGATGCCAGGTCCATCTAGGGTAAACCCTGCAGCTGTAAACATAGCTGTTTCAGAGAAACTGCTATGTTTACACTAGGGTTAATCCAGTCTCTAGTGGCTGTCTCATTGACAGCTGCTAGAGGCACTTCCGCGTTTCTAACTGTGAATATCAGGAAAGCATTGAGAAATGCTGCGCATGTGCATTCGGCGCTGACGTCAGAAGATGGAGCCAGGTGCTGGAGAAAGGTAAGAGTTTAACCCCTTCAGCCCGGCGAGAGTGGGACCCTGAGGGCGTGGGGGAACCTAAAGACCCTAGAGTGCCAGGAAAACGAGTTTGTTTTCCTGGCACTATAGTGGTCCTTTAAAGGTAGGCAGACAATGTAATAGAGCAGCAGGAAATGCTAGCAGAATTCTTGGTTGTATACGGAGAGGTATTAGCAGTAGAAAGAGGAAGTGCTCATGCCATTATACAGAACACTGGTGAGACCTCACTTGGAGTATTGTACACAGTACTGGAGACCGTATCTCCAGAAGGATATTGATACTTTAGAGAGAGTTCAGAGAAGGGCTACTAAACTGGTTCATGGATTGCGGGATAAAACTTACCAGGAAAGGTTAAAGGATCTTAAAATGTATAGCTTGGAGGACAGACGAGACGGGGGATATGATAGAAACATTTAAATACATAAAGGGAACTGTTACCGTAAAGGAGGAGACTATATTTAAAATAAACTACCACAACAAGAGTCTTAAATTAGAGGGACAAAGGTTTAAAAATAATATCAGGAAGTATTACTTTACTGAGAGGGTAGTGGATGCATGGAATAGTCTTCCAGCTGAAGTGGTAGAGGTTAACACAGTAAAGGAGTTTAAGCATACGTGGGATAGGCATAAGGCTATCCTAACTATAAGAAAAGGCCAGGGACTAATGAAAGTATTTAGAAAATTGGGCAGACTAGATGGGCCGAATGGTTCTTATCTGCCGTCACATTCTATGTATCTATTTCTACTTATCCCTGTACGCTATTAATACACTTCTGTGATGGCCGTTTTTTATAAAATTTTGGGCAGTTTTGCCATTTAATACATTAATACTGTCCATATGGAGATGGTAGTCCAGGGAGATTTCACGTAGTTGTTATAGTCTTCTTGAGAGAGGTGACCTTGTGTTCTCCTTGTCACTGGTGGCACAAGTTGGGCATCTTTCCTAAAGCAGTATATTTTCAACCACAGACAGCTGCTATTACAGAACAGTCCTATAAAACATACATTTATATCTGATAGGTTATAGAAATCCAGGTTTAATGAAAACAATTAAACAGAATAGAACCTGTCGTTAGATGCCAATTAAGGCTTTACCTGTAATCGGTGTAATACAAACAGGGTTACAGCAGAGTCATTCTCTAAACTAGCCAAACTAGAACAATTCTCAAACTCAGCTGTTCTATGTGCTTCCAGTTTGGCCAATTGGGTCCTAACATTTGAAATTCACTTTGAATTGTCACTGCTCCTTTACAATTGCTGTCTGTGAATCCATACACACATTAAGAAGACATGGCTGTAGATATCAGCCGATAGATATGTAATAAATTACTTTCTGTTTTCGGAGCCTGTAAAAAGATAGGTCACCATTTTTAGGATCCTGCTTCCTTGTATACTGGTTTTATTGGAAATGACCTGAATATATATTAAATAAAAGATTTGTGTGATAACCCCATCATTTAATAACACCCAATCTTTAAGGTCACCCCCAGCTAAAGTACACGTCTGACTGAGGGGAACCTGGAAAGAAGGTGACAATTCCTAAAAAGGAATAATTAGAGTTTCTCACTTGGGATAATCTTGCTCAATACAGAAAATAGCCGTTATTGCCATGGCTTTATAATGAAATTCTGTGACCTAACCTATATGTGTGTGTTCTTTGTTATGGTAGTAAATAAGGTGCCCTCGGGTGCTTGTAATCCTAGCAGTTCTGGGCAGTGGCCTGTAAAGTGTTTATTTATTCAATAGTCAGGAGAAATGCAGGAGTAAAAGTCATCATTATACCAGCACAGGCAAGAAGTCAGGTTACTGTTAATAGGTAATATATCCTTCACCCTCCAAGCTATGTGGGCAGGCAGTAATTGTAATAACAGGCCCGCAGGAGGGGAACAGATTAAACCAACAGTGCACCCCAACATTCATTTTCTGCTGCTAAAGCAAAGTGGACTTTTTAATAATGTCTGTTATTATCGGAGAGGCTCTGCATCGCTGGAGTGTGACATTATTGCTTCTGTAAAAGCCACAGACAGATTTCTACATAGGAATTTTAGAACTGGACCATAGAAGGGATTGTATATAGGGAGAGAGTCCACCTTCATTAAATGGCCACTAACCTGCATCTCCTATAAGTTCATGGAGTAAGTAATTTAACTATGCAGCACGACAAAACGTTAAAAGGACACTGTGAGCAAAATGGCCTTTACAGATAAGTGCGATGGTTATGGTAGAAGGAATCTTTGGGTGCCATCGCCCTGTTTTAGAGGTCAGACAGAAATATGGTATTCTCGGTACACAAAGTCTGCCACTCTGATAATGCGCAAAGTAGACTTTGGATGGCAGTGATAGGCGGCAAGTACAGGGCTTAAGACGCCATCAGTACGCACAGCCTAGCACTGGATGAATGGTTTCTGGAAAGTAGTAATGCAGCAAAACATCCACGTTATTTGAAAGGCAGGGAGAAACGTCATTCGCTCAGTGATAATCTCTCATTATTGATGGCAGCTTATCATTGGCACCCTATACTTTCCTCCGCTTTATCAGTGTGGCAGGAGAATTACTACTTTTGGGTGCAATGAGAACCATTACAAAAAGCTGTACTGATGCCATAAATATATTTGTATAGCAGGCTGTAGTGTATATGATGTTTAGAGAACCCCCCCTTTATGGGTCTAGTGATCTAGGCCTATCCAAGGATGGGAACTCCATCATCAACCAGGATAACGCAAGTTATTTAAAAAGTGCATTTCATGGACTACTTGAATTACTACAATAATAAATTTTTTTTTTAAAAACATAGTTATTTCGTTTCCATCATATGTCAGTATGTCCTGGCACAGGCAGGGCATATCATTCAAATTAATTTAACGCTCAGAGTTCTGTGCGCTATGGAAGTTATATACTTGTATAGCACTCTTCAGCAAATGCCCAAATTCACCTGAGCCTGACAATAGAAAGAAGGAATGCTGACTGGCCTCTATTACGACTTGCTATAGAGGTAAGTGTGTTTTTATACATATCTCCCATGAACCCTTCACGCAGTAAACACTTCGATAGCATTCACTAGGGTAATGGAGTGAAGATCTATCAGTTCCAGAGAAGTGACAGTATAATATGAGCAGTGATAGATGGCTATATATTTACTAGTGTTCACACAGTACCCAAGGTAACAGTGCTATGTAGATCATATTTTAAAAAAATTATATTTATTTATACTTTCAACCCCTTTCTGAAAAGAAATTAGGATAAATCAATTTATATTCTGACAGTACTGGCAGGAGATTTCTCATGAAAGGGTTAAAATGAAGATCCAGCCAAGATTATTTGGCAAATGTAGAATTAATTTCATAATCCCATCTGTTATGTTATCCCGAGCATAGCTTGATACACAAGACAATTTGTTCCCTTGCACGAGACTAGTCATTGCTCGTTCTACTGAAATAGGGACAATCACCTGTTCTATCAATCATCAGATTCATTTTACAATGATATTTTTATTGAAAAACCTCCCAGTCTCGTACTCATCTAATAAATTAATATTTCAGACCCAGAGATCAAGAGGCAGCATACAAATACCAGGCTTTATACTACTTTATGTTGACATAAAACTGTGAAATGAATAAATAATTTTATATCCAGACGGCATTATCGCTCATTGCTTCTCGGAGTTATGAATACAATTTCTGTACCAATGTGGCTGTTTATGCATTATTCAGAATATATGCACTTTTCATTCCTTGCACAGGTACTCGGAAATATTTCAGCAACAGAGCAGAAATAAAAGTTAGTTTATTGCTTTAATATTAACAATAACCTGTTTTATAGTACATTTTCCCCTAAGGATACTGAAAGCACTTTTTAGGGAGAATTAACGGACTCAGCACTTTAGAATGGTACGCATTTTATCAAATGACGCGGTGAGGGTGACCTGCCAGGTGTTGACGGTTATATTGATGGTATAAGTTGGTCATAGTTCTAAAGGTTAAATCTGATCTTTGAAAAGCTCGCTCGTTGTGCAATATTCTTCCTCTGTAATAGGTTTGGAAATCTGTTATATGTTTAACATGCAGATGAATCCAAGCACTTTATAAGAATTTTCTACGTTTAGAAACCAGACAAATACATGTCTTATGATTTAGAGATCTTTTATTTAAAGTGACTATCATAGTTTTCCTTTTTTGTGTGTTCATTGTATCGTAATGATTACACTCCCCTCCTTACCGCTTGCTTTATATTTATCTTTTGTTCCTTGCGCTGGATCTAAATACCTGCGTGCCTTCATTTTATTCTCTTCTGTCCACAACGTCAGCATTTGATGGATTGTGGGTAAATTAACTTAGAAACCGATGTGGAACTTTGATTAAAGGGACACTGTAACCATTTAATCTCATTGAGTCAGTTATAAAGCCTGTAGTCAGTTGTTGTCTCTGAATTTAGTGTTAAACCATTTTCAGCAATTTAACACAAAATTAGGCTTTCTGGCCACCCACAGCCCGACTGGAAGTGTGACTAAGGCAGATATTACACACTTTCTTGTAGCCATACCGATTTATACCAGCATCGGACGCTGTGATAGGCAGAAAGCGGCCAGTTGACACTCTAAGCCAGACACTCTCAGCCAATCACAGTGAAGGTGCATTTTGCCGATGGTCATATCCCTATACTATAATTTCCAATCTTGCAATAGCTATTTTGTAAAGATTTGGAAATCAGTTATTGGCTGAAAGCAACCGCCGATACTCTTTGCCAGTGAAAGTCCTAAAAGGGACAAAATTAATATGGCAAAAAAAAAATGGGAAAGTATGCATTATTCATATCACATAAGGCTCAAAGGACCACAGGTTACCAAGGGATATAGTTAAGGGTCAATGTGTTCAAAAATGGTTTGACTCCTTACGGTGGGGGGCGTCAGGAGACTCCTGGAGCAATAACCTGCAAACTGGACTGTAGTGGTTATGGTGTGTAGCGGAGAGCTGGTCTTTCACAGTTTAATTCCACTAAAGATCCCAGTGAGGCTCAGGAACAAGTAATAAAATACCATAGAATAATAATCACAGCAAGCAAGGTAATCCACGAATATCCCCCTACAGATCCCAATGACTGGACGACACACAGCATCAGGAGCAGAACTGAACTTTTAATCACACAACCTTCTTTTAAAGGGAGGGATTCACAGTAATTATTACAGTAGCCAATAGTGTAACAGGTACCTCCCACACATCTCCTCCCCTCAGTGTGACACATAATCCCATTAAACATATTGTAGTTTTCCCCGATTTCTGGTTGTACCCCAAAACAGGCAGATAGACTGATATACTGGGTACCCTCTTGTAGCCCAGATCTGGGTGAATAACATATTCAAAATTCACCCAGATCGGACCAGGGGTTCGGGAGTTAGATGGAAGGTGAAATTTGACCGACCGCACACGAGGTAGTATCTGAAAAAGGCTCCATGTGTTTTGGCCCTGCGGTCGGTCTCCGTTCGGTAGTTAAAACACACAGAAATACTTGCCATCCACAGCTAATCTCATATTCGTATGCATTCCCTTGTTCAGTACATTTATTTTACCGAACGAGGGGCTGACTGGCCCCTCCGTTCGTGAGTTATGGAGCTCTGGAGGTCTCAGCGGTGTTCGGGTGCTTGAGTTTCCGATTTGAGTTCCAGACACTCGACGACCAAACACCGCTGAGATTTTCTTGCGTAAGATGGCCGCCACCACGCGGTTCGTATGCTGAACGGCAACCACACAGATACACATAAAGTAGCAATTTCACGGTCAATTAAGCTGCGGTTACAGAGTGTGAAAGCTTAACAAGGTACACACTTCTCACTGGGGTGGTCTGATGGTTCGGTAGTTTCATTCATATGAAAACGGAAGGAAAACTACCGAACAAGCAGACGAAAGCTAGATACACTTATAGTTATACATGGAAATAATTGCACAAATAAATTTTTACCACAAATTCTTGAGGACAGCCCAATGCCATCCGCTACATGGTGCTCAGATCAAACAGTGTCTGAATGCAAAGCGCACACTGACGGCTGTAACGGTCACTGTAGTGAATAGTCTGCTGGGAAATCTCTGTCGTCATAATTAGAACAGGAATTGCCTTGGGATCTGTGATTTGTTGTTTTGGGAATTGGAAAAAAACTATACAATTAAAATCTTCCATGCAGTTTGGATGTCGAAATGCTAAGCAACTGTTGTATGTGCGATCTGGAAAATGGAAAAGAAGTGTGCAGAATACTGAAAAAACAGAGATAAATACAAACAGCACAGTTAAATAAATATTTATTAATAGAATCATTTAATTCACCAAACTAAAATTTCACTTAAATTTTTCCCAATTAACAAATGATCAATACTTAACCCTTTGCTGTCCTATGTCGGAATAAAATATTGCACTGTGCATTGTGCGTTGTTGCGCACATTCACGGCACCTGGCACCGAGCATCGCCGGCACTCTACAGGGAAAGTCCAAAGTGGTAAAATATTTTGGCAGTTAAAGTCCGACATAGGACAGCAGAGAGTTAAAACTACAAGCTTAATTCATAATTAAAACGATACGTCTTGCTGTTTTCTTCATTTACAAATGTTTAATTCAAAGAAATATAAGGTCTAGAGACGTGGGAGAAGGGAGAGATACGTTTTGCATTGTCACAGATTCCCAAGACCTGAAGACGGTAGAAGCTGAAAGCTATGTCATGGTAACTGTGTAACACACAATTTAATCTGCGTCCATGAATAGGCTCTGACCTAATCCACTCTCTAGGTGGGAAGTAATCAATATTAGCAGCATTAGGGTGTGTCATTAATAATTAATAATTACACAAGTATAATTTAAAACTGGGGTGGCCGAGAGGTAGGTCCCCAGCTAATGCAGAACTCCAGTTCACATGTTGTTTTATCAGTGGGAAGGATTGTAAAGCACATAGGAACAGAAGTTCTGTAACCACTGGGGATCTATTTCTAGGTTGGCCCTAGGATAAACAGATATAATCATAGGATGTCAAGCGACCTCGCAGGAATGGGGGTCATATAGAATAATCAGAGCACCAGGACCGGCTAAAAGGTTTCAGCCACTTCCTTGGACGATTAAAGCATTAGTTGCAAGTCCTGGGGTGACTTGTAACCCTAAAAAAAGAGTTGGGTGATTCATAGATTCAGATTTCTTATGGCATTGTCATCACAAGTTTTTTGTCAAGTCCAATTTTTAAGCATTACTTTAATTAGTTGGTTTTGTTTTTTTAATGACTCGTTATATTTTAAAAACTTCACTTCATTAATTATATATGCAGTAGTGGTATATATTTGTGTTGACTTGCCTTATGCTTAATGCAAAAAAATATATAAAATAAACCTTTTGAAACCTAAAAAGTTAAATTTGTGTCCTGTTTTCTATATAAATCTTTACGTGTGAACAAGTGTTAGCCTGCTAATCATGGCTGTGTCACAATTCTATTTCCTTAATGACAGCGAGGAGGAAACATGGCCTTCGGGGACGTAGTTCTCTATAGTCAAAACAAACAATGTATAAATATAGAGCAGCGTGTTTTAAATCGACTTTCTGGGTGGAACTGAACCTCGGTCACGTGGTGATTATAGACTATTATCTGTAGCGATCTTCATCAGAGCTCCAGTACTGTGTTACTGAGAAAGCTTTATCATGCTAATGCTGCAATTAAAAAAATAAACCAAAATAAAGATAAATTATACAAAATAAAAAAGATATTCCATTCTGGTGTCCCTTCATCTAAAAGTACTGCAATGAGGTATCACCAAATGAGCGAGTGACTCTTGTATAACGTTCTCTAACTGTGATGAGCATATCTTATAAACCTGTGCTTGGCAGAGTTGGCTTAAAGAGTAAATTACAAAAAATAATAATAATAATTAAAAAAAAGCCAAGCATGGCAAACATATCCTAAGCTACACATCACACCTAACCAGGGATAGGCAACCTGTATGCATAGGCGTGCGCAGCCTATTGCATTAGGGTGTGCACCCTAAAGCACAAACACACGCCGCGTGTATATGTATGTGTGTATATATATATATATATGTATATATATATATATACACATACACACACACATATATATATATATATACACACACATACATACGCTGCTTTGTGTGTGTGTGTGCTGTGTGAGGGTGTTGTGTGTGTAAGGGTGCTGTTTGTGTGTGTGTGTGTAAGGGTGCTGTAGTGTGATGTGCGTGTGAGGGTGCTGTTTGTGTGCTGTGTGTGTGTGTGTGTAAGGGTGCTGTGTGTGAGGGTGCTGTTAGTGTGCTGTGTGTGAGGGTGCTGTGTGTTTGAGGGTGCTGCATGTGTGAGGGTGCTGTATGTGTGTGAGGGTGCTGTATGTGTGTGATGTGTGTGTGTGTATGTGCTGTATGTGTGTGGGTGCTGTATGTGTGTGTGTGTGTGCTGTATGTGTGTGTGTGCTGTATGTGTGTGTGTGCTGTGCGGGTGCTGTGTGTGTGTGTGCTGTATGTGTGGAGGTGCGGTATCTGTGTGCAGGTTCTGTATCTGTGTGCAGGTGCTGTGTGTGTGGGTGTGTGTGCTGTATGTGTGTGGTGTGGGTGATTGTGGGGGGTGGAGGTGGGGGTACATTACTTAATATCCCCCCTCCCTTATTACCTTATGTAGGGAGAGGGGATCCTTTCTTCCTTCCCTGGTGGTCCAGTGGAGGTGGGGGCAGATCAGTTAATATCCCCCCTCCCTTGTTACCTTATGTAGGGAGGGGGGATCCTTGTTCCTGCTGCCATCCTTCCCTGGTGGTCCAGTGGTGAGTGAACACTAGCCTGCGGGGCTAAAGTTCACTCTCGCGAGATCTGAGCGTTGCAGCGGCAACGCTCAGATCTCGCGAGAGGAACCCGGCGGAGCTGCTGGCAAGAGCTCCCCGGGTCCTATCCTGCCTCCCTCACTGCCTTTGGGTCCAGGCACCATGACCACTTCAAAACACTAAAGGGGTCATGGTGCTTGTAATAACCCTTTAATGCACCCACTGTAAATGTTCAGAGAAGCTATTTCTGGCAGAATGAACCACTTGTTAATCTTTGAATGATAATGAGCCTAATTAAGATGGATAATAGTAATAACTGTTTGCTAAGAAAACAATTATTTATTTTTATTAATAAATATTTACTTTGTCACTGAATATGACTGAATAAGTTGTTTTTCTTATATTTAGCATTTAAATAAAATATTCCCTTTTGTATCCTTTAAAAAAAAAATGCTCTTTTTGGTGCCCAAATTAAGTGATTTAATCAAAAAAATAACACATGCCTTTGGGTCCATAATTGTTTTACAGAATTTAAGCAAACACTGAAATCATTGAATGAATCTTTTTGCAAGAATAATATAATATTTTACTTTGTATTTTCCAGCCTATCTCTGGGTATCTGATACAAATGATATATACACACACAGCGCATGAATATATTATAAAGACAAATAGTGTTTTCTCTCAGTATCCTCGAGAGTGTGATGCTTTCAAAGCAAAAAAGCTTTGTAAACACACAATAATTCAAAGTGTTAGATAGCGTCCCTAGTCCACGTGCGTATCAAACCGGTTCGGAAGCTAAAGAGTTAAATTGTCTGTTTATAAATACTCAGGATGCGAATATACATTAATCTATTCGTAAAGTATAATAGATGCACTCTGGGTAATGATTTTCTTTTAATTGACTAATGAGTTATCTCATCTTATTAAGATGGATTGAATCCAGTTCTTAACGTAACAAGTCTGAGCACAATGCAAATCACTAATCAATAATTGAAGCCACAGATGTCAGTTTTATTTTACGGACGCGGTGACGTGGGAGGCTTTCTGCGGTTTTAGTAATTTTCCTTTTATTTTGAAAGGATTGCAATATATAGTGATCTAAGGTGTTTCAGGGGAAAAAAAAGATCAACAGGTATATTCACTAAATATTCAATATTCACTAAATAATATTATTCAGTGTTTACTAAAGTATGAATTTTGAACTCTCTATTTAGTAAATAGCTCTGTATATTTGCAAACTTTCAAAGCAGAGGATGTCCAATGATCACCTCCACAGACACGAGCAAAAGGAGGAGAATTCACTGGGAAATGCAAGCGTCAGGCCAAACTAGCCGATCTGGACAAATTCCTAGCAGGGAAACATTTTCCAACTTGTGTATATCAGATTAAAACGTACAATTCTCTTGCGAACTCGTGACAATGCACAACTTAGTGAATAACCTGCGTGGGATAGGCATAAGGCTATCCTAACTATAAGATAAGGCCAGGGACTAATGAAAGTATTTAGAAAGTTGGGCAGACTAGATGGGCTGAATGGTTCTTATCTACCGTCACATTCTATGTTTCAATGTTTAACCAAAATTTAGGCCAAAAATATTTGTAAATATTCTCCAACTCAGCTGTAGTCACAGTTTGAGTACTCTATCCAACATTTTCAATTCAATATAATGTGCTGGATGCCTATTGAATTAATAAATAGTAATTACAGGACTCCGTGGAGATGGTACTTGAATAAGAAAACGTACTTATTCAGATATATTGAATAAATAATAAAATACAATATCAGCTAATCATACCATTACCTCCCATGTACAGGGGTTGGGAAAATACAAAAAATAGCTGAAATAATGATCTAGTAGGGGTTCTGTGATTAGGTACACATGAACCGATACACACTGTGAGCTGGATACAATAGTTTAGAATATAATTCACTAATATCCCACTTAGGGTTAAAATCCCAAAAATGCGTCAGTTATATAGTGTAGCCGGCAGAGTGCTTACTATAAAAGATTTTATTATCACATAAACATTGTCAAAATAATACACATATATATATAAAAGACAAGTATATAAAATGTCCCAAGTAAAAAAATAGATGATACCAGGTTTACAATCTGAGGGTCCAATGCTGTTAATATCTCTCTCTCATCGGCCAGATAAAAGTGAGTCTGGACCTCCTTGTGTTGTGTCAACACTGGCTGTCAGCCGCGTGCGTTCCACTGCGGCTCTGGATTCGTTCCAGTCTGCTTACTCCTGGGAATCAGTGTAGAATGTCGCCTAACGCGTTTCGTGATCATTGGATCACTTCATCAGAGGAAACGCGTTAGGCGACATTCTACACTGATTCCCAGGAGTAAGCAGACTGGAACGAATTAATTCAATAGGCATCCAGTATTTGTTTGTTTTGTAACCGTAGGTGGCGGCTATTTCTACAGTGACACAGTGGTTATGGTAGTCACATTTGGTCTCATTTTCCAACTTTAGAGGTTATTCATCATTGTTTCTGGTGTCTACCTATCAAGTTGTGTCTGATTTACAATATAATGTGTTGTTGCAGGCCCCCCAAGAATCCAGATTTCAGGGTCCTGTCTTGCCGCCCCCTGATTTTGTTCCTTGATGTCCCGCATCCAGGGGCAGTAGGGAATAGTCCTCAGGTAGCACAGCGTGGACACATCATTAGGCGAACATGCGTTGTGAATAGGCACTAGGACCCTGCAGAAAGCCCTTTCAGTAGGAGGAGCCACCACCTTTACTCATTGTGGGCGTCACCAATGATACGGTGACGCCACTGGCAACACCCCCTCTAAATTTCATACCCCTGATGTTGGGAAGTACGCTCTTTGGAGAATAATCCACAATGTGATTTACTTACTAAACTGGGTATTTTGACAAGCTGATAAGGCAATTGCAGATTTCAGACCAACAATTCTACAGTACAGTAATTTTGTGTCTAAAATCTGCAGTTCGCTTGTCAATTTTCCACACTTTCCAGTTTAATGAATATTTCTAGGTGCCTGTGATTCCGGCTATTACGCTGCGTCATTTAATTTCTGTGAATTAATAGAGCAGTCTCTTGCGTCACTGATAATGAGTCCGTGTAAAAGCCCCCACTGAGCTGTCATGACAATTCTTGGACAATGACTTCTGACTGTGCGAACGATCAAAAAACATCATAGCTCTTCCTGCGTACATAAAGAACAACAGCGATACTGCTTGCATCACTAACAGAATCAGCAGATTAACCCTTCTGACCCCACTTGGACCATAGCCTTGTTTGAGCAGGACTCTCACCACCACCTTCTGTTCCAATCAGTAATTCAGGAATGCTCGGACTACAGTGCAGAACCTTTCACGTGCTGTCCATCCTCATTGAGACACAATAAAAAACCATGATGGCCCAATTTGCATGAACTAATTCAGCTTAACCCCTTAGTGATCAGACCGTTTTTCAATTTTCTTACCGTTAAGGACCAGGGCTGTTTTTACATTTCTGCCGTGTTTGTGTTTAGCTGTAATTTTCCTTTTACTCGTTTACTGTACCCACACATATTATATACCGTTTTTCTTGCCATTAAACCGTCTTTCTAAAGATACCATTATTTTCATCATATCATATCATTTACTATAAAAAAAGAAATATAGAATATGAGGAAACAATTTAAAATAACAACACTTTTTCTAACTTTGACCCCCAAAATCTATTACGCATCTACAACCGCCAAAAAACATGCATGCTAAATAGTATCTAAATTTTGTCCTGAGTTTAGAAATATCTAATGTTAACATGTTAAATAGATTTTTTTGCAAGTTATAGGGCTATAAGTACAAGTAGGATATTGCTGTTTCAAAATATATATATTTTAAAATGTATCAATAGTTACATTGTAACACTATTATCTGTCATAAATCTCTGAATCATACCTCACATGTACATTTTTTTTTTAAATAGACAGCCCAGGGTATTCAATATGGGGTATGTCCAGTCTTTTTTAGTAGCCACTTAGTCACAAACACTGGCCAAAGATAGCGTTTATATTTGTTTGTTAAAAATGCAAAAAATTATTATGAGCACTAACTTTGGCCAGTGTTTGTGACTAAGTGGTTACTAACAATGACTGGACATACCCCATTTGCAATACCTTGGGTTGCCTTCTTTTGCAAATGGTATGCCATCATGGTGGTAATTCTCATTCCTGGGCTACCATACGTTCTCAAAGGTAACATAACACATTTGGCAAATTTCAATGTGAAACAATGGAAAATCAAGCCGTACCTTTGACCCTGTAACTTTCAAAAACACTATAAAACCTGTATAATAGGGGTTACTGTTATACACAGAGGACGTCGCTGA